CATTTTTAATGACATGGGAACTTGAAATAAATATAGTTTATCTTACTAATTAATTTTTTTATTTAAACGATTCAATGTGTTTTTATATAGTAATTTATTTTATGCAAATGTCAATTTTCATTTTATATTCGATTGGCCTTTTTTTAAAATCAATAGGGAGGGATTATTCTTTTACATATAAGAAATAGGCGAGACAACTTTTCCGATGGAGGATTGCTAATCTCGAGATTTCTTTTCAAGTAAAGAATTTTTCCTAATAATAATTTGAAGCAACTTAATTAAACTTTAATGAATGAATCATATTTTAATTTTATATTTGATTCATAATTTTCACCATTGCGACTATGTGTAAGCAATTAAGTACTAATTTTGGGCGTTGTGGGGTGCTAATCATTCCCCACGCGTAATCGACTCCTGGACCCGTTAAATCCGATTTTTGGTAAGCGCAGACAAATTTTTTGTCTTAAAACACGATTTTTTCTTAAAATTATTTTAAAAGACGTTTTTATGTATTTGACCTATCTAACCCAAAGGTCGATGGCGACTCCCTTTCAAATCAATTTAAAAACATCAATTTTCCAAATAAAAAGTCATAATTGTTTTTCTAAAATAATTTAATAATTGTTTTTTTAAATGGTTATGACAATGAGGACTTCGAAGCTTAGAAGTAGATATGATTCGAGCACAGTTGATCCATGATGACGTGGAAGCACATAAAATTTTATGTTATCAGGAACGAAATTTTAAAATTTTAGAAATGAATAAATTTATAAAATTTCAAGGGATAAATACGTATTATTAATAAAAATTATAAAAAAATATCTAAAATACATAACAAATTAAAAAAATTTAAGAATCAATTGCTTCCGACTACTTCTTCCTCGATCAGTTACGGTATGACAACTTAATTTAAGATTAAGTAACGACAAAGAATATTACGACGGATTCACGAGATGGATTCATACTTTTCTCGAGACATGTTGCATTCCACAAACGCTTGTAGAATAGTTTTATTATTTACAAACTAAATTCTAACATTCTAGATTGGAGATTCTAGTCCGTGACAAGAATTTGAAATTCTATATTGTAGAATAGTTTTAAACTTTGATTAATTATTATTGATAAAAATATGTAAAAATACATTTTAAAAACTTTCAATTAATTAGTTTTTAAATATATATTTCGTAAAATTTAATTATTTAAAATAATCATAGTCGAAGTTTAGAAAAATGACTTTTAAAAAGTCAATAAAAAGACATTTCTATGGAACAAAGGGAGTACTGAGAAATTAAAGTTGAGATCTCTTAAATTTTAAAATTTGATGTACAGAGGCGCTTGCGAATGGAGTAAATTGGGTTAAGAGGGTTGCTTTCGCCTCTACAATACTCGACCTAGATTAGTCGGTCAATAGATCGGATACTAATAATTAATTAAAAAAATGATGTAAGGTTGGTCATGTAATATATACTACAATGATCAATAATGGTAGCCTATACATCAAATTTTCCAAGATTCTTTTTATGTATTGCATATCAGCAATTCCTTACCAAACCTCGAGTTTGACCAAGTCATATACTTCATAAACAAAATCCAAACCATAATTGAGTACGATCATAAAATCTTGTGTGAGTTACGAATTTTGTTATAATTATTAAAAAATTACAATAACATAAAATTATTAAAAATTACAATAACATAAAATTATTATGAACAAAAAATATATATCATGTGATTATTGATATATATTTAAATTTTTGGTGTCTTGTTTTTTAAAAAATATTGATAAAATATTATTATTATTTGATTTTAAAAGAAGATAAGAATTTTAGGGTGGATTTGTTGAGTTCATAGCATTTTTTATGAAATAGATATTAGATTCGCATTTAATATGTCAAAAAGGAGTTGACTAAAAATTTTAGGTCTAACAGTCGATGGCGATGACAATCGAAGCCGATACTATGGTGATCGGCAACCACAATGGTGAGTGATGGCCACCGACAAGAGGTTTTTGATCGAATTTAAGAGTTAAATTGATATTTTATCTAGAATTTAAGAGTTAAAATGATATTTCCTCTATAGCTTATAGAAAAATGAATATTCTATATGAAGTTCATAGGTCAAATTAAAAATTAACTCTCACTTGCTTGTCTTTGTCAAACTAACAAGATTTAATTTTGTCTGGAATAGTAAGTCGGAGAGGAGTATCCATTGGATTAGGTGGACTGTATTTGTAAATCTCTTTCTCATAGGGGGCTGAGTTTTTTTGATGTCAAAATTAGAAATCGTTCTTTACTTAATAAATGGATTTGGAGGTTCAGTGTGGAAAATGATAGTTTATGGAGGAAGATTATTGTTGCCAAGTATAATTATGATCAAGATGCCATCTTGCCTAAAGCAGTTTCCTATAGAACTTCTTCTTGGATGTGGCGTAGTCTTGTGAATCCTGCTGGGAATTTTCTGTCTGTTTTTCTTACTGACTTGAGGTTTGTTTTGGGGAATGGTCACAACATAGAGGTCTGGACTGATAATATTTCTTTAAAATTATCTTTTCTAAGAATTTTCAGTCTTGCAGTTAACAAAACCGGAAAGATTAAAGACTTCGGTTGTAGGGTCCTTGATAGTTGGGAATGGAGAATTGAGTTGAGAAGACCTTTCTTTGAATGGGAAAAGCCTATCTGGAATGAATTCATCCAGGTTTTTAAATAGAGTGGTTATAGTCAATCAAGATCGTGATAGGGTGATTTGGGTTGGTTCATCAGATGGTTTATATAACCCAAAAGCTTTCTGTCATAAGGTGTCCTGTGATAGATTAGTGGAAGACCATGTGTGGAGATTCGTTTGGATTAAGCTTGTTCCTCCCAAAGTCTCCGTTTTTGTGTGGAAAGCAGTGTATCAAAGACTGTCGGTTATGGTTGAGCTGCTCAAAAGGGGTGTCAATTGCTCCGATCAGGTATGCTGCCTCCACTGTAAGCTTGCGCCGGAAGAGGTAAATCATGCATTTTGTCATTGTTATGTAGTTTGGAATGCTTGGCAAAGATGGTGCAATGTGTGGAATGTTAATTTCGTTTTTCCTAAGAATGTTAAATTATTGATTGAGATTTGGTTCGCGCAAAGGGTTAGAACGAGAGTAAAACCGCTCTGGTGTCTGGGATTCTTCGGTTTGATTTGGACAGTATGGATCTGCAGAAATCTTACCAGATTTAATGGGGCTTCTTTTACGGCGAATCAGTTCTTTTTTAAAGCTTTACTGCTGATTGGAATTTGGGCAAATTATTTATGGCCGAGGTTGTATCTTGTGGTGTCGGACTTTGTTCGAAATCCGACAGCTTTTGCTCGTGGGTTCTGTTAATGGCTTTCCTGCTGCAGCTGTTCTTCTGCTTTTATTCTGCGGTTCGTTCTAACGTTGGTTTGAATGTTTAGATTCTGTTTTGGTTGCTGTTTTCTTTCATATGATTGATTCATGTTGCTATTATTTGCTCTTGTTTTGGCGCCTCTGTATGTTCAGTGTTGGACAAGGCTGGTATTATGGCATGTGTTCACTGCCAGGATATCCTTTACTGCTGCTATTTTACAGCCTGTTATTAGTATTCATTCCGCTCCATGGTGCACTCTTTTTCCTTCGATTAGGCTTAGGGAGGGTTTTTAACGAGACACTTGGAGTGGTTACTTTGTAATTTATTTAATACAAAGTACCCTTTCACAAAAAAAAACTATTTAATGACTAAAATATAACAATCAGTAATATAAGTGACTAAAATTCAATAAATCGATAACATAAATAACCAAAATATATATATTTTTAAAAAATTTTATGAACAAAAATAAATAAATATGAAAAGTAAGTGATTAAACTAACAATTTACTCATAAAAAATCAACAAAGAAGCTATCCACATACCTCAATTTATCATAATTTTTGAAGAAAATAAAAATCAACCTAAACCATTATCAAGAAAACTCAAATATATAAGTTCTGTTGGACAAAAAATTATCTGTAGTATCAATCAATAATATTTATCGATATCAATTTTTTTAAGGCGAATTTTCACATCTTTCCTATAAATAAGAAGCAGAAGTAAGTAGTGAAACTAAAGAGGGGCTATTGGGGGTTTAAAAAATCATAATTTATACCCTTAAAATTTTCAAAAAAATTAATTTAACATCTCTTAAAAATTTTAAAACTCAGATTAAATTTTATTTTTTAATATTCTTAATTAAATCCCCTCCCATAAACTTTAAAAATTCTCATTAAACCTATCAAAATTTCAAAAAATTTAGTTAGACCCTACTTTTTTGAAAAATGTAAACTAAACACCCCAAAATTTTTACAAATTTTAATTTAAACATCTGATTTTTTAAAAAAAAAAACTTTAAGTTGTCCCCTCACTGGTGGTAGTTATTTAAAATTTGTGATTCGGCCCGTTTCCCGATCCGGATATTGCGGTACCCGAATTTTGCTGGGTACTCGATACCTTTTTTTTAATTTTCAAATCATTAATTTAAAAAAATATACACAAATTTAAATATTCAAAATTTTGAATTACATACTCCAACAACCGAACATAAAATTTAAAATTCGAAATATAAAATCTAATAATTCATAATATAAATAATCCATTATATATTATATATATAATAATAAATAATAAAAAATGACCGGGTACTCGGGTACCCGGAAAAACAAATTTTGTAACTCAGGCCTGACCCGGTCGGATAATTTTTATCTTTTAATTTCGGTCGACAAATCGAATCAACCGGATCGAATATTTTTGCACCCACTTAACCATATCTATCAAATAATTTATCTTGTTGGATACTGTTTGTAATTTTACTCCTCATCCACGTGTCTTATTCTCCTTGCCGACAGTATTGTAATATGCAAAGCTGTGGGTTTCATAAATAATGTCTCCTCCTCCCAAGCTTTGCTGTCAAAGATTTGAGCTTTGTCTGCTTGCCCCAACATTTTCCCGGTTGGAAAGGTCACTTCTTGCCTACAAGGAGCCCAAGGTTAGTGAAGAAAACAAAAACAACAGCCAAACCCATTTAGTAAATAAGAAAATGGGGTTGAAAAGAAATGGAAGCAACCCAAATTTCCCTATTCTATTCAATTGCTTTTCATCATACGAGTGTGATTCAATTCAAACTTCATTAAAATAATTCCTACTTTTCTGTGGTTGACCTTTCTCTTTGATCTTTATCTGAAAATCCCAACAAGTTCTCTCTTTGCTTGCCTCTTGAAGACCCATTTCTTATTCCTTAAATCACTCAGGTAACTTGTTCAATTTCAACTTAAATACGGCTTACTTTTGGCGTTTGGATCTTCATATGTTTTCTTTAGTCTTTCATTTATATTTTGGGCTTTTTTTTTATCTGAAGAATTCAGTTCCAGTATCAAAACTCTATGCTAGATGAATCGTTTCCTTCTTTGATTCGATTATTGTTTGACCAACAAGAGAAAAAGGGGTCTGGGTTAAAATAAGGGAACCTTATGTTATTGTGGATCCAATTCTAGACTGATCTCTAGATGCTTATGTCTTATTTTTTGGGGGGTTTCAATCTGGTTTTACATAGTTGCAGTCCACTTTGAAGTCAAGTGTCATTTGGTTCATCAAACGGATCGTTGACTAATTTCATTGATCTTGTTTCCTATGAGGGTCGATCAGTAGAAATTATTAATAGTCTAGGCGATTACAGGTAGTATCCGTTTAGAATTTTGTTTAGTTAATTGACAACGGACGCCCGCCCTGTAGGCTTAGCAAAAACAGCATTCTTTTTTACCGCTGAGTTCGATTAGTAGAAATTACTATGATCCATAAAGGAAACTTGCAGAAGAATTCCTGGTTACTATTGGATGGGAATGAAGGAAGCAAATGAACAAAAAATAGTTCCTTTCTTCTGTCTCTGGCAACATTATCGTAACCTGGGATGCTCTTTCGTACTCCGACAAAGATGGTTGTTTTAAAAGGACATAAACGAGAAAAATAAAGAAAACGAAACCAACAAAGAAGTTGTAAAATGCTAACTGTTGTTATGAATAGTTGAGGCAGATCGTTCATACTAAAAGGTGGACGAGTTGTAATAAAGAAGTAATTTTGAATTTGCATGTCATTCATACAAAAAAGTGCATAGGTTTTATGCGGCTTCTGCGGAAGGAAATCATTTCGCACATCTATCCCTCATGATCTTATGCAATTTCTTGTTTTCTCAAGAAAATGAGATATTGCTTTTGTTTTTCTCCCTTTAACAAGCTTGCACTTGGAACACAAAGTGCAGATGTTCATGTAGTGGCATTGAGATTAATGATACTACAGTTGTGCAGGATTTAAGTGTTAACATACAGGGAGACATCTGTTAAACTATGAGTGTAGATTTAAAGAAATCCTCTTCAAATAGCTCCGAGAAGTCGCTAACATGTGAAGAGCAGCAGACAAAGGTATATTTTCTTTATTGGATTCAATATACCTAATTTATCATATGTTAACTTTTTGGCCCATCATAGATTTTGATAGTTGAAGCAAGCCAAAGCTACTTGGATGTTGCGGAGTAAAGTTTTCAAACCTTTCGATATTTGCAGATTACTGAAATGAGAAAGTTGATAGGACCGTTGCCTGAGAAGTTAGCAATTTATTGTTCTGATGCAGCCATCGCTAGATATTTAAGGGCACGAAACTGGAATGTCAAGAAGGCATCTAAAATGCTGAAAGAAACCTTGAAATGGAGAGCGGAATACAAACCAGAAGAGATTCGCTGGGTATGCTACAATTCTGCCTCCCATAATTTATCTGTAGTTTCTTAAAGTATGAAATGCATGAAGGACTTGACCATTAAGGATACTAGGAATTGTCAATCCTAGGCCTTACTATCTTTCTTAATCATAGCATTCTTCTTTTTTCATGCACTCCGCATGGTTCATTGAATTAGGAACTTTCTTTTGGATGTTAACCCTTGAGAGAAACTCAAGCCCAATCTACTTATTAGGGCTGAATTCTGGTGACTTGGCAGCTCGGGGACTTTGTCCTTTTTTGTGTGAACAAATAGCTGGTTCGGGTCAAACTTTTGTTCTTTTGCCATATGGTGCTTTAATTCTGATTTTTCTATGTAGGAAGAGGTTGCTCGTGAAGCTGAGACAGGAAAGATCTACAGATCAAATTATATAGACAAGCATGGAAGAACCGTTCTTGTCATGAGACCTAGTTGCCAGGTTTCATCCGAGTTCCTTCGATTTCTTTGCAATTTTCAAATCTTGTACTACATCAGAGAAACTGGTGAAACATATAACATATTAGATCCCAATCTAACGGTTTGAGATTAATGGTCATGGTGCCGTTCATCTTCGTTCCAACAGTAGGATTATCCTCTATATCCGACACCTTTAGTTAGTCCAAAAACAGCTCGCTGCACCAGTATCCTTTGCCGAATTTAGGCTAATGACATGTTTGATTGTCATTTGGATTAGTAAGCATGTACTATTGTGCATTAGTTGGCGATGACATCTTAGTTAGGTTTGTTTTGATTGCAGAACTCAAAATCAACGAAAGGGCAGATTAGGTATTTGGTTTATTGTATGGAGAATGCAATTTTAAATCTTCCAGCTTACCAGGAGCAGATGGTCTGGTTGATCGACTTCAATGGCTTTAACTTGTCACATATATCAGTGAAGGTGACACGGGAAACGGCACACGTTTTACAAGAACATTATCCAGAGCGTCTAGGTGTGGCGATACTATACAACCCACCCAAGTTCTTCGAACCTTTCTGGACGGTAACCCACCCAGATTCGTTATTGTTCTGCTTATGTTGTTATTAGTCCATGCGTTACGTCTGATTGATTTAATATTGGAAGTACGCTCCTTGGCAGCTTGTGAAACCCTTTCTCGAGCCCAAGACTCAAAACAAAGTAAAATTCGTCTACTCCGATGATCTCAATACCAAGAAAATAATGGAGGATCTTTTTGATACGGAGAAATTAGAGTCTGCATTTGGCGGAAACGATGACTCAGGTTTCAACATCAATAAGTATGCCGAGAGGATGAGGGAAGACGACAAGAGGATACCTGCCTTTTGGACTAGGGGGAATACTCAATCCACAGCTCCACCAGAACCCATGCCTACATCTACCGTTGGCTTGAATTCTATTGATCCAAACTCAGATTCTAATGCCTCTGACAATGGCAAGGTGGATGGTCCCCCCAGTCATGTTTAAGATTCAGAAAGCCTCATTTCCAGTAAAAATCGAAGCTCGAGTCGTGTTTTGGCTGCAGTAATAAGGTACGATGATCCGACTGTAAGCTGACTCGCTGACTGTTTTAGTTAGTAATATGAAGTTGAGTAGAGCTCCCTCAAATGTATCACTGCGCCTTTTCAAACTTCTGTTGAATGGATTTGTCTTTCAGTTAATTTAATGTATCCTTTTGATAAGAACTTTTCTTGTTTAATCCTTTCCAAATTTGCTCTTTGATCTTCAATTATAAAATAACTGATGAACTTGTTAAGCATGCAATTCTCTTCTTGTTAGGGTTTCTTAGTATTTGACATCGAAAGCTCTCACCCGTAGCATTCCTAGATCTGGAACCCGAAACCTCAAGAAATGACAATTACTTTACTATTGAGGTTACTTGGTTCGTATAGATATGTATATGTATATTGACATGTCATCATTAAATAATAAAAAGGAAAGGAAAATTGGGGCTAAAACATAAAAAAATGGGTGTTGTCTAAAAGGAACAAGCACGCACGATGTGTGTCGAAGACATATAATTGTACGAGCATGACAACAAATCAGGTGGCGGTAAAAATAGACATGTATTAACCTTATGTTCAACCATTAATAAATGCATGTTTAAAAGTAGAGGCGTTCAAATGGTTAATTCGGTAGTCGACTGAATCAAATTATCATTAATCGAATTAATCAAACAGAACAAAGTTCGGTTATTTCAGTCGGTTAATCGAATTAATATTTTTTTATAATTTTTATAATTAGATTAATTTAAATATAATAAATGTATATATTTTATTTGTGCTAAAAATTAGTTAGGTATTGATAATTTAATGAGTTTAGTGCGATTAAAAAAATAACAGAGGTTAATTTTTAATGGGTTTGAGTTAAAATATGTTAGTATATATAATATTTAATAATTTCGGATAATTCGGTTAATTAACTTATTCAAACTAAATTAACCGTTAATCCAATATTGAAAAAAAATATTAACTGTTTCTCGACCGAACTAATTCGGTGGTCGAACGAATTAACCAAACTAATTCGGTGGTCGATCGAATTAACCAAACCAATTCGGTTAAAACCGAATATTCAACACCCTTATTTAAAAGTTTACATTTAAACAATTGAAAACTTGATATCTAAACAATACATAATTAAAATACTATCGAGCTTCTCAAATCTCACATTGTTTAGATATAAAGATTTTCAAATGTTTAAATATAACCTCCTGAACATATACTTATTGAGTAATTGAACATGAGATTAATACACACATATTATTGCATTTAACTTGTGTTCGTGTAACTACATGTTCTAGACATGCATCGTGTGTGTTTGTTTGATCTTTATAGACAAAATTCATTTTTCATATTTTTAGTCCTTTCTTATCATTTTTATTTCATTTTAGTCAAATATGTTTAGGCGTCTTTATTTCATATAGCAAAAATAAGTGTTAATTCAAAAAATAATCTGAAATAGATACCAGAATAAAGAATATTTTTAATATCTATAATCAAGTTGTGAAAAAAAAAGTTTTATATTTACGTGAATTAAAAATTGAATCAATTCGTTAAATTTTATATAACATTTTCAATGAAAAGAACATTATTTTCTATTTTCCACATATATTTTTAAAATATTTTAATTAAACACATTTTTCAATATATTTTATCTTTAAAAAAATTAAAATGAAAACAAAAATTACGTATACTTTCTAAAACCAGATTGAGACTCACCTAAATTTCCACTAAATTTGATTATATTCATGGATGTTTTGATTATTATTTTTAAATTATAAAAATTATTTTTACTGAATTTTAAGGGAAAAGTAAAATTTATCTAGTGATTTCGATAATAAAAATAAGGGTAAATTATGTGTTTAGTACCTAAACTATCATTTTTGGTTCATTTTAGTATCTAAACTTTTACTTTTTCAAAACCATGCCTAAAGTTTAGTTTTTGTTTCATTTTAGTACCCGCCGTTAAAAATTTAGTTTTTGTTCCCGTTCAAAATTTAACATTAAGCTTTAAAAAGATTGAAAATTTAGGTACTAAACCGAACTAAAACCGATAGTTTATGCACTAAATGCGTTAAATTTTTAACAGTTGGGTACTGAAATGAGATGAAAACTAAACGTTGGGTATGATTTTGAAAAAAAATAAAATGCTAGGTACTAAAACGGACCAAACTGATAGTTTAGGTGCTAAATGCGTTTTTTACCCCAAAAGTAAATGATGATCTCATTAGAGAATTCAAATTTAAGTAAATATATTTACTGAATGTGTATCACTGTTAATGGCTAGTAAATAAATTCTAAATAAGTACTGATAACCCCAAATTTGTTATATATGGATTGATTTGGTTAATTTCATTAAAAATTCGTATAGATTAATTTTAATTCGTTAAAAATGGTTATGACAAGGGGTAAACTATGTATTTAGTGGCACATCTATTTCTTTAATTTTGTTTTAATTGTCTAATTATTTTTGTTTTAAAAATATTATATCTCAGTTTCATTTCGATCACTTTTCAATGAAAATTTTAACGGTGATGATGGTATATCACTATAGAGTAATGTTATATCATTATTGGAAAATATAAAAAAAAAATTATCACGTCAATAATTTTATTTATTTATAATGCAAGATGACTAAAACTTCATCAAAATGTAATGTTATGTATGATTTTATATATATATATATATATATATATATATATAGGGTTAGGATTTACTTACATAATGTAAAACTCTTTAGTTTTACAAAGATTTAGGAACGTTGGATTAGTGAAAATAAATGACTAGGATTTACTTCTTTTTTCTAGTAAATATATTTATATTTTATACTTTTAATCTCAGCCGTCTATTATCACTCAACGGTCCTAAATTTATGTAAAACTAAAAAGTTTTATATTGTGTAAGTGGATTCTGCCTCATATGAATGACCAAAATAGAACTACAACAATAGATGAATGATTAAATACAAATTTACTCCTTTTTCCCTCCTTTATTTTCCCAATTTTCTTCTTGGTTGGTCATCTTTTCATTATTTTTCATCAGTATCTAACGAGTTTTAACTTAATTCGATTAAAAACTTTTAAAAAAAATTTAAACAACTTAATATAATATTATAATTCCATATTTTAATGATCGAATTTAATAATAACTATAACTCCTCTGTTTTTATCATTATTTTTTAATTCACACTTTTTCTTTCATCGAATTGAAAAATTATTTAATTTTAATTTTATTGTTTAAATCTATGCAAAAAAATAAAAAGATCCACGCTCAACTTTTTGTAATACATATGCAATCTCTAGTTTAACTACCGAATCCATGTATGGATTTGTATTTTGAAGAAGAAACATTTAATTTCATTAAATATAAAAATCGACCATATGTTTTTTATTAGTTAATTAATTAATTTTAGGATAAAGTACATAAATGGTACCCCGACTATAGTGTGATGTTTTATTGAGTCTTCCGACTATTAAAAGATAAAAAATAGTCACCAAGATATTCATTGTGTTTCAAACTCATTCTTTTTTTTGTTTAAAAAATGATGACAATTTAAGTTAGATATTAGCATGCTAACTGAGATATGATATAATATGAACCCATAATCTCAAACGACTATCATATCTCAGTCAGCATGTTAATGTCAATCTCAAACTACCATCAATATTTTAACAAAAAATGACAAATTTTGAACACAATGAATAGTCGAATGATCATTTCATAACTTTTAATAGTCGAGGGACTTAAAAAAGCAATGTCCTATAGTCAGGAGATCATTTTGTAACTTTTAATAGTCGGATGACTCAATAAAGTAATCTCTATAGTCGAGAGACCATTTATATACTTTACTCTTAATTTTAATATTCATAAATATATAATAGTTTAGTGGTCAATCTTGTAGCCTGTTGTTGAAGTCATAACAAGTCCATCTAAGTTTATAATTAGTACAAGCAAGCTCCTAATCTTATATATTATTTTATAAAAATAACCACGTTTTCATCACAAATAAGTGAATAAAAACACTACTAAATGAAAATTCTTCAAATTTAAAAAAATAATTATTAAAGTGGATTTTCGTAATTTGAATCCTTTTTCAAATCTCATCTAAAGAGATTGTTTTTAAAACCCTAATTTTTTTCATTTACTGCGTTTAAAATATAAAATTATTTTTTTAAATCTCAAAATACTATTTTATTTAAATATAAAGATATTGTTAAATTTTATATTATTAAAATTATTTATATATTTTTTAAAAAATTAATAGTATCCATGTTGCATAACTTTTATATTACTTATCGATAATAGGCTGAAGGGGTTATTTTGCCCATGAAATAATCTGAAATCAATAATATTGTTCATGTTTTTTAGTTATATTAAATTTACTCTTCAAGTCATTTAATTATGCTATTTTTTTCTTTTGACTCACGTCGATTATGGTGTTGTCGTGATAATAAACGGTGTTGATACTATGATTCATTGTATTAACATAGTAGTCCACAATGCTAAAGTGCTTTCACATGTGAATTATGATGTGACAAAAAAATTAAATTGATTTTTTAATCGAGTTTGAGGGAATAATTTATTTTAGTTTAAAGTTCGAGGCCATATTTAATTTTAAGAAAAAAATTAAGATTTTTTAATAAATAGTATTTTTTAATAAATATTATGAACATTTTTAAAATTTTAATAATTTCTTAGATTTTTATTTTTTTTTTCTTAAAAATTAAATAAACTATCGAACTTTCAATTAAAATCAATTATGTCTTTGATCTTAGCCAAAAAAATCAATTATGTCATCAAAGTCGGTGAAAAAATTCAATTAAACCCCATTACCACCATCATCATTAACATATAACCGTCACATCACAGTGTTAACTGTCATATCAATATCATAATTATCAACATCTACCAAAGAGTAAAATCGATGTAATTAAATGATTTTAAAGGCAAAATTGTTCCAATTGAAAAAGTAGGGATAACATTTTTATTTAGGTTTACTTATGGGGTAAAATGACCCCTTAAGCCTTATTAATTAGGGTATTTAATTGGTTAATTTGGTCGGTCATCGAATCGAATTAACTAAAATTGAATTAATTGATTTTTTAACAGTTGATCAAAATGTGTTTTTAATTATTAACCAAATCAAACAAAGTTTGGCTAATTCGTTCTGTCTTCAAATTAACCAAATTTTGTTATAATTTTTTAGTTAGAATAATTTGGATTTAATTTGTATTTTTTCATTTGAGTTAAAATTTGATTGAGTTTTGAAAGTTTAACGAGTCTAGTTTAGTTAAAAAATAATTGAGTCTTGATTCTTTTGTGAGTTTGGTCTTAAAATATATATGTAATATATTAAATATTTAAAGTTTCAGGTATGTCGATTAATTTGGTTAATTAATTGACTTTGAAGCGCGAATTAATCGATAGTTGAACTTTAAAAGAAAATAATCATTAACCGACACAAAATTTAATTATTTGACCGACTAATTGAACTAAAATTTGATTCCACTGGTCATTTCAATTCAATTAAAATCGAACAATTAACAACCTCTTGTTTTTTTTGGGTAAATTATGTCATTTCTCAATAAATTATACTCTCTCTATATTTTACACATTGTACTTTCAAATTTTATATTTTACTCATTGAATTTTGAAATTGCTCATGTTTTGATCACTCATTATTATTTTGGTATGATATGACATTATTATTATAATTTAATATAAAATAAAAATAGAAGGTGGTCGAACGTCACTGTCGACAGTCATAGATGATGGTCGTTCGGTCCTAAATTTTACGGGTCGGTTCGTCTGGACTCCTTGAGTCCGAACTGATGGTTGTTTTACCGGAAAATGTCCTAAAACTCATGAATCGACTAAAACATTTCGAATTCCTCACTTTCAATCTCAATTCGTGAACTTCGAAGCAAGTTCTGACAAAATAGAAGTCGGATTTGAACTCACGGTGTCGAGGTGAAGCGATTTATGAAATTTAGAACAAAAAAACAATCATCTATAACGGTCGACAACAACTGCCAATGGTGTCCGACTGACTTATGTTTTTATTTTATATTAATCATCATATCAACCTCTTTAAATGCTAGTATTATAATAATCTCTAAAATATTAAAATCTCTTATTCAGGAGCACTTTTATTATTTTATTTTAAAAAAATAAAAATGAAAATGACGTGTGTTTTCTAGAACCAAGCAGCCTTTATTTATTTATTTATTTTGGTAGAAGCAGCCTTTATTTTTTTAAGCACGCGAATTATATCTTAAACATCGAGAAAGTCAGCAAAACTAGTTTGACCAACTTAATTAAGAAAAGAGTAAATTACACTGCTCTTCACTAAACTTGTTATCTCTCTTAGGTTACACACAATACTTTCAATTTTTTTAATTTGCTCACTGGACTTTACTGATTAAATCATTTTGCTCACCCTGTCGTTAATTTTATAACGGTGTTATGACATGACACAAGCATTAAAACGACGTCTTCTTGAAAAACTCAAATATACACTAAAACCATGTCGTTTCGAATCCTCTTCTTGTGACAAGTTGTCGCCGTTGGTCAACACGTCATTTTACATTCCAATCACCGTCTACCATCGTTGATGATGGTCGTTCGGTCTCAAAATTCATGGGTCGGTTCTTCTCGACCTCCAACTCCGAATTTGGTGGTTGTTTCACAGTAAATGTCCCAAAATCCGTGAATCTCGACTGAAACGTTTCGGTTTCCTCATTTTCAATCTCCAATTCACGGAATTCGGAGCATGTTCCGACAAAAATGGAGGTCAGATTCAGACTCAAGGTGTCAAGATGAAGCGACCTATGAAATTTGATAACGAACGGCTACCATATACGACAGTCGACTGTAGAATCCGACCACCTTCTGTTTTTATTTTATAGTTGAGTGAACAAAATCATAGAGAGAGTAAAATTCAGTGAGAAACGATGTAATTTATCTTGAAAAAGCCTCATTGTGTAATAATTTATCCTTGAAAAAGTAAAAAAAAAAAAAAACTAAAATCGAAAAGGGCTGAATTTGAGGCTAAGGAGTTTATGAAATGTGAAAACGAAACTTCAACAACCTTATAGTTCATTAATAACAACCACCACAGACTATTGGTCCATAGTAGAGTCCGGTTGACTGACAAAACAAAAACTCCCAGCGTTCGTGATACACGTTGCCATTGTTTTTTAAAAATACGTATCTTGCCTCAAACAACAACCATACTATAATTATCCTTTTGCTCATTCTGATTTATATATATACATACATATATACATGTACTTCAAGTAACCAAACTCGAAGTTAACCAAAAGAATAATTGCAATCACAGTTGCAAAAACATTCTGAACAGCAATCGCTTCTTGATTTGATAGGTAATTTTTCACTTGCCCTTCTCTTTTAATCATGCAGTTTCTGCTTCGATTCTTTAGATTTTTGAATTGCAGTTTTGTTGATTTTCTTTTGAGTATAAGGTGGAATGGTTAAATTTGGGAAAGTAATTTGTTGGGTTGATTGGGAATTGAGCTGGATGCGTTATTGTCTTTGTTCTTTGTATTGATGGGTGGTTGAAATTGAGGAAGATGGTGTTTGTCTGTTCAATTTTTTTCTTTAAGTACTATATCATGAATTGAACAATTTTTTTAAAAAAAAAATTGGGTCAAGCTTTAATATCTTATTGATTTTGTGATGGCCAAACTTCTGGAGAAGAAAGAGGGTTAGGTTTTGATTGATATTAAGCTCGTGCCAGCTGAAAGAATGGCCTGGAGATGTATTTTGGGGGTCTGATAATGCACGTTGAATCTTGTAATTTTTACTTCGATTCTTTCATCTGCGACATTTTAACTGATCAATGGAAGCGAATTGACATCGGCATTGCAGCTTGCGGACTGAGATTCATGGGGGCTGTTCTGAGCTTGGCTGCACCAAGGAGTTCAATGAATGACTACAACGAAGTCTTACAAAGTGAAACCTGCAAGAGAAAGAAGTTATCATACTTCGATGAAGATAACTCGAGATTGATTTCTTCTCTTCCCGACGAGCTATCGATGCATATCCTTGCTCGACTTCCTAGAATCGACTACTTCAAGATGAGGTCGGTTTCGCGGAAGTGGAAAGCGACTCTTGTGAGCCCTCAACTGTTTAGTTTGAGAAAAGAACTTGGAATGACGGAGGAGTGGTTGTATGTGTTGACTAAGGTCGAAGAGGAAAAGCCTCTATGGTATGGTTTGGACCCTTTGTCAAGGAAATGGCAGAGGCTGCCGTCGATTCCGAGTACCGTTTTCGAAGGAGAGTCGAGGAAGAGTTTATGGAACATGGCGGAACATAGCAGTAAAATTGTTGAATTTGTAAAAGGCTGGCTCGGGAAGAAGGATGGATCAGATCACGCCCCGTTTTGTGGTTCCGGCATCGGTACTATCGATGGATGTCTTTATGTGCTGGGGGGATTCTCTGGAGCTTGTACCGTGAAAAACGTCTGGCGGTTCGATCCTATTCTGAATGCCTGGAGTGAAATGGCTCCCATGTCAACAGGTAGAGCCTACTGCAAGACGAGCATTTTAAATAACAAGTTATATGTTGTAGGAGGAGTTAGTCAAGGCCGTGGCGGATTGACTCCTCTTCAATCTGCCGAAGTTTTCGATCCCCAAACCGGCATTTGGTCTGAAGTCCCAAGTATGCCATTCTCGAGAGCTAATGAGCTACCCAATGCCTTTTTGGTGGATGTGTTGAAGCCTATTGCTACTGGCATGACTTCATACATGGGTAGGTTATGTGTAGCCCAGAGTTTATATTCCTGGCCCTTCATCGTCGATGCCGGGGGCGAGATTTACGATCCCGAAACTAATTCTTGGGCTGATATGCCAAGTGGAATGGGAGAGGGCTGGCCTGCTAAGCAAGCAGGTACAAAGTTGAGTGTCGTGATCGACGGTCAGCTATACGCCTGCGATGCTTCCAGCTCGTTGGACAGGGGTAAAATACAGGTGTATGATCGAAAAGAAGATGCTTGGAAAGTTGTCATAGGAAATGTCCCCATTAACGAATCTTGTAACTCGGAATCCCCGTTTTTACTTGCTGGACTTCATGGGAGGCTTCATGTCATCACGAACGACGCCAAACGTAACATTGCCGTTCTTCAGGCTGAGCCAGAGCATGGTTCCGGTCCTTTCCCGTCGAGTTTAACTTTTTCTTCGGATGGTTCTTGTGACCAAGTTTTCGATTCCCTGGCCGAATCGGAAACGGTTAATTGGAAGGCTATCGCCGCCGGAGATTTCGGCTCTGCTGAACTTGTCAGTTGTGTGGTTCTCGACATATAGGTATATCAATTGTGGGTAATTTAATCGGATCTTAGTAATGTCAATGTGAAGAAGAGAGAATTGTAGCAGATGAAAGGAACATACCAATATCGTCATCTCCTGTATAATATGAGCAGTTAGCTCTTTTATAAGTATTTCAATCATTACAGCAAGTGAAGAATAATATTTTTAAGTAAAAAAAAATATTTATAGAGTTTTATTCACGTGTGAATTATAGTATTTTATAATAAAAAAATAATTGATGGATTTGATGCTACATAAATTAATTAAGAGATAATCGAATAGACTACACAAATAACATATACATCATATCGTGCTAATTATGGATTTGATGCGATCAAAATTAAGGGTCATTCAACTATTTAGTCTTTTTTTTACCATCGATTTTTAATTTTATCAATCAAAAATGATCTTCTGGCGGAGACACAACCGAGTGGAGGTTCGATCGACGATAATGACAGTAAGGGCGAAAACATGCATGAGTACATGGATTAGATTTAGGGGTTTTTTAAAATTTCCAATTTTTTTGATTTTTTAAATATAATTTTAAATTTTTTTTATTTTAAATGAAATTTTCAAAATTACATGAACGTGAGACGTGTCCTGAACATGTTACAGAAATTGATTTTAAGTAATATTAGGGTAGTTCTCCTGTGTAGCAATCTAATTTAAGATTAATTTAAAGTAATTTTAGTTTAACATATTATTATATTAAATTTAAAAAACTATATAAATTTGTAACATTCTCTGTTGTAATCAAAGAGTTATATTGCACGGGTTTAGGACTTACAATTGAAAATGTTTGTGAAAATATAATATTTTCGGTTTTCAACCTAAAATGTTATTTTGTCTAACCTAAAGAGTTACAATTTGATAAGATTTTCTATTGCAATCGATTGATGCCTTTCTTGATCTTATATTAACAAGTTGTATTTTAGAATTATTGAATACATTAATCATAGTTGAATCCTCCCAAAACACACTTCATCTCTGATTTATTTCAATCCAATCAGAAGGTGACACATGTCAAGATTTGATTAGATTAAAAATAAATTTAATTAAATAATCAAAATTAATAAAAAATTAATAAGGTGTTTACATGTTTTCCATTTCAAACAGATGAGTGTTGTGTTCATCAGATTACATACATTAATGGAGTTTTACCTAAGTGGGGTTTATTCACGAGTGGCAATGTAAAAGTGTCGCTTTCCATGTCATTAGATTTTTCGGTTAGATTCAGGCAATAATCTCAGTTGAAAAGTTCCTATTTGGGTGGTATCATTCTTCTCTTTCTTCATCAAACTGCAAACCTCTCTCCTCCTCTCCATACTCTTGTTTGTTCATACTAAAAATTTCTTCTTTTTTTCCCTTCTTGGAGTTTGGGATCTCCTCAAGCTTCAAGTGATTAACTATTTGCAGGGAATTTTGCACAAAAAATATGGGTTATTGCTCGTTTCTTCTGGAAAGTTTTAGTTTTTCTTGACAAGAAGCAAATTCCAGTTGTTTCTTAAACATCTTCAGCACAGAAAAAGAAGAAGGCTTTACAGTGAAGGGTTAATTCAATCTGGTTGAGGGGGGGGGGGAAACCCAGATTAACGTGAGAGATTGAGGTGAGAGAATACATCAATGGCTGGAGGAGATTTAGTGGAGCTCAAATTCAGGCTTGCAGATGGAACTGATATTGGTCCAAGCAAGTATAGTCCAGATACAACTGTTGCATCTCTCAAGAGAGAATACTTGCCCACTGGCCTAAAGGTTACCCTAATTTTTCCATTTTCACCTCTTTTATTGCATACTGGTTTCTTGAGTACCAAAGTTTTCTCTGATTTATTTTGTTGTCCGCCTTTCAAGAACGCCTATGTTATACAGATTCCATTGTGTAATCTAAATTTTTGATTTTTTTAATAGCATGTTCATAATTTTATTGTGTGCAACTACTTGAATCTAAGACCTCTAGGAAGAACAACGTTCCATTTAACTCTACTTAGACCAATTGATGGGTTCTTCTAAACACGTTTTTACTGCAGCTAGGTGCTATATATTTGCTGCTTAGTTTTTCATGCTTTTGAAGGATTATACCTTCCTCATGTTCTACTATGATTGAACTCATATGTCGAACACAGTTACTTCCTGGTATTGTTGGTTGTAATATTGTGATTTCGTGTAATCGGCTTCTGTTTGCATATGAAAGTACTCTTCTCTGTTTGCAGAAAAAGAAAATTGCCCCAAGACAATACAGGATGTGAAGCTAATTAATGCCGGAAAGATACTTGAAAACAGCAGGACACTTGCTGAGTCCAGACTTCTGGTTGGTGAACTTCCAGGGGGGCGATTACAATGCATGTCGTTCTTTGCCTTCCTTTGTCGGACAAGAACAATGGTAATCCCTGCATATCTATTTGTTTTTCATTGCAATGGAGTTTGAGGACAAATTACGTTGTTTAGTACTCTATTTGCATTCTGAGCTATGTTTCATGCGCCAAAAATTCGTTGTGATCAGTATTCCTATAACATCCCGAATCCTGGGTCAGTAGTTGTATCAACCCGAGACCCAAAGTTCAGCCCAAAAGACTTCATAAATTAGTTAGACCAAGTTTAGTGTTAGTGGGATTGAGTTGAGGTCCAAGGGAATTGTGGTCAAGTGATAAGAGTTTTATGATTTAGAAGTTGGGGGACTAATAATGTAGTTTGTCCATAACTAAAACTGATAGTTTATGTATGATTTTGAAAAAAATTAACAGTTTAGGTACTAAAATAGAAAAAATGATAGTTTAGGAATTAAATGTGTAATTTACCCTTATAAAATTGGGTAAATTACACATTCATCACTCTACTTTACTCTCTCTATTATTTTACTCATCATGTTTTCAATTTTTCTAATTTGCTCACTAAACTTTACAAATTGAATCATTTTACTCTCCCCGTTTTCTCTCTAACGGCTACTTACGTGACATTTATTATTATTATTTAATATAAAAATTAAAAAATAAAATAAAAATGGAGGGTAATTGAATGCCATTGTCAGCCACCATTGACCGTCGTAGATGGTGGATGTTTGGTCCTAAAATGGGATGGATCGCTTCGTCTCGACGTCGTGAGTTCGAATCTGACCTCTATTTTGTCAGAAGTTGCTCCGAAGTCCACAAATATGAAATTGAAAGTGAGGAAATCAAAATGTTTCAGTCCAAATTCACGGGTTTTTGGATATTTTCCGGTGAAACAACCACCAGATCTGAACTCAGGGGTCGAGACGAACTGACCCATCCCGTTTTAGGACCAAACGACCACCATCTACGGTGGTCAACGGTGGCCGGAATGAAAATGACATGGTGGCCGTCGAAGAGAAAATGGAGAAGAGAATGAAAAATGGCAAATTACACCATGAGTCATTAAACTTTACTCTATCTCGTATTTTACTCACCAAAACGACATCGTTTTAGAGTATATTTTAGTTTTTCAAAACGAAATCGTTTTGATTCCTGTACCACATCATAACGCCGTTAAAAAGTTAACGACAGAGTGAGCAAAATGATTCAATCTACAAAGTTCAGTGAGCAAATTAGAAAATTTGAAAGTTCAACGAGCAAAATAGAAGAGAGAGTAAAATAGAGTGAGGAGCCGTGTAATTTAACCTAAAAATTTACACAAGTGGATAGGGGTGTTCATTCGGTTAAAACTGTGGCCGACTGAACCGAATTAACCATAACTGAATTAATCGATTTTTTTCTTTAATCGTTAACCGAACCGAACTTTTTTATGAAAGTATTAACCGAACCGAATAAATTTCAGTTAATTCTGTTATTTTGAATTAACCGAAATTTTTTAGAATTTTCAAATTTAATATTTTTTAATTAAAAAACAGTTTACAATATCTAATTAATTTGATTTAAACATTATATTAAAATAAGATATTTGTATATATCAATTTAGTTCAAAAAACCAACAATACTGCACTTCTACAAAATAAATCAGAACAAAGTGCATAATGCAAAACTGGAATCATAATTCAGTATACAAACCAAGCATAATTTAGCATACAAACAATTTACACTTTAAGTGTTTGTGCATGAAGAAGGTTGTGCTAACTACTAAGTTGTTTGCTGTTGCTGCCATACCAACCAAGATGTTCTCTATTAAGTGCAGAATTATTCATATCTTAAGAGAACATATTACCTGCACAGTGCACAGCATAGAAATAAAGAGATGCAAAATTCAATTCGAACCATCAAAAACAATCCAAGGTATAAATATCAAATATATCTATTAAGTATCAACCAATGCTAAAATTATAAGTGCTAAGCTAACTCAATCTAATGTAATACAATCTTATTCAGTAAACATCATCACTTCATCAGATCTGTGCTAACTAATAACTAATCTGGCTAATGAAATTAAAATGAATGTAAGGGAATAAATTACCACAAAAAAACAGTATTCAAAATACTCCTTTTGCACCAATTGAATCCTCTCAAAAAGTTTCCATTTGTATTATCTCTACAAGAAAAATATATTATTTTAAATCTAAAAATACAGTATAAAAGACCATATATATAAACTAAAAAATACATTGTAATAATGCAATTTACAATTAATGCATACTAATCAAACGATCTGCCAATCAAATTATACGATTAGTTTCTTCCCTAGAAAATTTGTCAATCAAACGATCTAAACAACCATGAATAACACCTATGGTTCTCATTTTCGCTAGGCCCCCGACACATATCACCTGAACTCCCTATGAAGTAAACACCCCTAAACAATTAACAAACATACACAACTTTACAGAGCAGCAGCCCATACCATTACCAACCTATAAATTTCACCCCTCCAGAAGCAACAAACAAGCAATTACCCATACAGCTGGAATTTAAAACCTTCAACAGCACACAAAAACTCAAAAACTTTTGATGACAACCACCAAGAAAAGACTAGGAATGCTGCAGCATATACACCTAGACAGAAATTCAGCCTAATAAAAAAATCTATATGCTACTTTTGATCTTCGACCCACACAAATGAAACTAACGAAAACAAAACATGAACCCAAAATAAATTAAGCTAACTACAAAACTCACCAGGAAGCTAAAACAAAACATATTAACCTAACATCTCTCGTACCCAGGAAAATATAAATACTTGAAACTAATAGAACAAGGAAAGCGTAATCATGAAATATCGGATACCTTAAAAACCCAGAACAAGAAAAGAGTAAAAATCTCAAACACAAAAATGATATCAAATCACAAACCCTAAATCAAACAAGTGATTAAAATTTTTAGGGGAGAAGTAAACTAATCAAATAAAAAATCTAGAATTTTTAAGTTAGAAAGTTAACCTGAATCGAGATTAAGAGAGCAGAACTGAGATTAGAGAGACTGAGAGAGAACGAGAGAGAGATAGAGAGAGGGAATGAGGGTTTGATGAAAGGCGAAAGCTCGGGTGGTGAGAAACTGAGAATCGTGAGATGAGATTGCAAGGTAAAAGTTTACATTTAATTAAAATTGATTTGGACATTTGAGTTTTAAAATTTAAATGGGTTTTAACTTTCAAATGGAATGGAGCAGTGGGTTGTCTGATGGGCTAGTTATATATATATATTTAATTCGGTTAATTAATCGATTTCAAACCGAATTAATCGTTAATCGAATTTTAAAAATTTTCTTAATCGTTAATCGATCGAATTAATCAAACTAAATCGATTCGATCGATTAACCGAATTAGTTCGAAAATTTGAACACCCCTACAAGTGGATTATAATCTTCATAATAAACTCCATAACTAAAGGCTGTGCTGCTAGTCCCTAGTTCTAGATGGAAGATAAAATTAAGGGATGGGCGTTTAAATCAATGCAACGCTTCTTCCTCTTCCCTCTCCAATGAAAATCTCAAAAGACCAACATCCACTTTGCTTGTCCCGTTCACGAGACCTCCAAATCCAACTCCTACATTATTTAAATAATTTAATTATTTAAATTAAATAAACAACATTCAAATAATTATATTCATTTCAAATGCACTTCCTATTCCATTTCAAATGTTTCATAAAATATACCCTCCAATTATAATTTTGGCCTTCGCATTTCGGATATTTAATATTTATATTTTTTTTATTAATAAGGTAAGTACATGACAATATCTGTTCAAAGATAACTTCTAACTTTTTCGACGTTGAACGCTCACACAATTGAAATTTCCGATGCTCGAACCCGGGACTTTAATGTTGACTTTAAGAAATAATGTCATTAATTATTTATAACTATTTTAGTTAAAAATTGAAATTTGATTTTTTTATCAGAACAAATATTTTTATGAAAAAATATACGTAAGCATTTTAAAGAGAATAATTAGTATTATTAACTATTTAGATTAATTATAAGTTATAAAAATATAAATTATGTCAAATTAATATGTAAGAATCAAATCTTAAATTTGAGTATATTAAAAGGACTAAAACTATAATTTGATCTAAACTATAGATAAACTTTTAGGGATAGGTCTTCTACGAGTATTGATAAGCACCACTAACGATGAACACCGTTAATTTAATTTATAAAAATTTAAAATTATAAAAGAATGAACATATAATTATAAATTAACATTTAGGCGTACACTTTATTCTTTTTTTTTCTAAGTAGAGTTTATGTCTAATTTATGGTTCATATTTAGAGTCTGTGGCTCTCCTCTGGATAATATATTGTTTAGAATAATATTTTAATCATTAGTAATGAGTATATATATGTTCTGAGAATATAATTGTTTGAGTTCGGGATTTTTGAAAAAAAAAATAATTTAGATAATTATAAGATAATATCTATTCATAATATTTTTAATAACCGACAATACACATTGTACAAAACATTTACTCGAACTTAGAAGTTTTAAAGAGAAGAACAATTTTTCGAACAATTGAGATGGCTCGATAAATTCAACCTTTTACACTGAAGTATCTAAATAGATTTTAAATATGGAGAATGCATATATTTGTATTTGCATACCCTTCTTTTCTGCCCACAAATTTTCACTCTCAAAACTCTTCCCCTTCCTCCACAAATGAAGCCATCTTCCACAAGCTCCGTCGATGGCTTCTACAGCTTCCTGAGTCGTAGCATAGACGAGCTCGAACGTGCTTACCTCTCCAACAACTTCTTGTCAATCCAGTTCCTTCAAAGGGTTCTCTCCCTTCTTCGATCTTTCCATTCCCACCTACTCCTCCTCGTCCAAAAGCTCCACCTTCCCGTCGGCGATAAGTGGCTCGATGAGTACATGGACGAGAGTTCCAAGCTTTGGGAAGCTTGCCATGTCCTTAAGTTAGGTCTTTCGGGCCTCGAAAACTATTACTCTGCGGCTTTTAACATCGCTTCTTCTCTTGAAACTCATCCCCATCTCAGCCCACAACTCACCAGACAGGTCATTAGACCAGCCCCTTATTGGGTTTTTAATGGGTAGACTACACGTTTGGCACCTACACTATTATTTTTGTTTAATTCCGATACCAAAACTTTAGTTTTTTAAAATCGTACTTAACTTTAGTTTAGGTACTTTATCACAACATCATTGAAAAAATAAAAACAGTCCCTCAACAGTTATGTTAATCTTTTGATGCTGAAGTCTCAAATTAAAACTTAAACTAAACGTTACATATGGTCTGAAAAAAATAAAGTTTAGGTATTAAAATGGAGTATGAGTAACAATTTAGGTACTAAAAGTAAAATTTACCCTTTTTTTATTGTTGAAACTATGGGGCAAACTTAAACTTATAGAACTTAACGGCAACAATAGATTTTGGATAGAAAATACATAGAAAAAATCTTAAATATAAGGTAATTTTAAAATTTCAGGGGGCGACTGCCCCACCTACCCCCTCGGTACATCCTGGTATCATGCAACGACTCAATTGATCAACAGGTAAAAAATATGAGATTTTTTTTATTAAGCTAAAGTGATTACAAAGTAATATTTATTCTAAATACTCTTAATCATTTAACACTGAACGCTCAATCACCCTACTACAATCGCTGGTGCTTGAACCTGTGACCTTTAGGAAAAACAACTATTCCTTTAACTGATAAAGTAAGTTAGTTCATGCAAAATATGAGATTTTTAAATAATAACATTTGACTAGTTAAAAAATAGGGTAAACTACTCCAATAGTCACTAATGTTTGGGTAAGTTTTCGTTTTCACCATTGATATTTTAAAATTTACAAATCGATCACTACCATTATCTTTTGTTACAAATTGGTCACTTGTCGTTAACAGGCATGACGAAAAACACACGTAGCCTATTAACAACAATTAACATGCTTACCTGGATGGTATAATTATACAAATAGTCCATGTTATTTATATATTCTTTCAATTTGATCCTAATTTTAATAAATTAAAATATATTTATTTTTAATTCTTATAAATAATGATATATTTTTATACAAAATAATTAAATGTTTTTAGTTATAAAAGCAGAAAAATTAACGTGATGATATTATTATTTGATATGATGACATATATACATAGTAGTACTAGTAGTAGTAATAGTTTAAAGTTAATGCAAGTTTATGTATAGTAAGGATCAACCACTATAAAAATAACATCGAACGTTTTTTTAATTAGTCAATCCAAATCAAAATCAGTCATGGTTTCACATATAAAAAAAATCCAAAATCAATCATGACAAATCAAATACGTAAAACACTATGTGAGTACAAGAGTAATCATCCCACATGCACACAAAAAGATTTGCAACAGTGGATTGATGAAAACTTTCGTTTGAAAGATAGTCAAGATACACAATCGAACACACAAACAATGGTTCTTCTGCTCCCTTTTACGTCGCGAACATTTTCTTAACTCAAAATACAATGACAAATCTTTAACTTTGAACTCAAAAAGAGACCATTTTGTTGTCAAGCAAGAGAAAACCCGACAAGGGTGCGAAGATTGCATTTGATTCAAGAAGTGATCGTGGCGATATATTGAAGTTTTTGTCGTAACTCCCATGGTTCAACACTGCAAAGCCTTGCTCCCGGCACACGTACATGACAAAGGTAGGTACAATTTTTGTGTCATCTTTTGTATACCATGATTTTGGTTCATTATGGAAAGTAGGAAGATGTTCCCTTGACAAATCAAAAACCTTTTCTTAACCCTAGTTTTTTAAACATTAAAAGAATAGTCCTAATTTTGCAGTTCGGTGTTCCTTTGACAGTGTACCGACCAAAAACTAATATGTTTCTGCTGGGCTTCAATGGAAAAAAGTGGACATTTTCCGTGGATCATTCCATGGATTTAGCTTAGTATGTTTGAAACAATGTATTATTATATTATGTCTAATGGGCTACCATTAAACTTTTTATAGACTAGGTATTAATTACGGTGCTTCCTTTTAGAATTAATACCCGAATAGAATGGAACCTCTCTCCCAAGCAAGTTGCTACTCTTCCCCTTTTGCGGATTATCTTTATGACAGGTTGACCAGAAGCAGGGGACAAGATTAATTACTGGGTAGCATACTTTAGGAGATAGATTAGACAAAGAAGGTTCGTATCAATGATCGATGAATAGCTGGATTCCTAAATTAGTCACAAAAAATATCACAGATAAGAAAGAATATAAAGCAACAAATCAATGCTATAAAACCACCAGAAAGCAAAGAATATAATTCAATCAAAAGTCATCTTTTCAGCATAACCAACTTCAGAATTCAAAGATCAAAATCTCTACCAAGTAATATAGCTATAGAAGGTTTAAACTCAGAAACACGAGATAACGATTACCAAATTTAGAAGAAACTCACAAATCGGAATCTGCTAAGAGGGCGTAGATTTCAATTTCTTTGTGCATTTGACCATAGGATGCATACTCTTTATTACTTTTTTCCGAGCCTTCTTCACAGATATAGCTTTCTTCGTCTTCTTAGTCACAGCAGGCATTTCCCTTATAGGACCTGGAGGTATCCCTTGCTTAAGTGCACTTCCTCTAGGAGTAACGGAGGGAGGTAACCTCAAACTTAATGGAGGTAAAGGACTGTGGGGCTTCCAAACCAAGTTGTTTTTCATTGAAAATCTTACCCTCTTCGTGCTATTCTCACATGTTTTTGCAGTTCCATCACCTTCACCGTCAGCTCCACTGGTTAGCTCCCCATTCTGAGATTTTTTTCCATCCATACTTTTTGCTCTCTTTCTCTTCTTGGAGACGGCAGCATTAACTTTTGGCAAATCGCAAGCACTTGCGGCATCACCATTAAAGCCCACTTCCGCCGCAACCCTCTCGAACTGGAGCTGAAGGTTAGATACCACTGATTCAGTAAATGTTAATGAATCCCCATCACCATTCTGCTCGATATTAGAACTGGCAACCTCCACAGGTAACTTAACATCATTCTCTTGATCTGCAGGGCTACATTCAGTTTTCTTGTTTTTCTTAGTCTTTTTACCGCTGCCCCCAGTTAACCTTTTGCCCTTCTTGCTTTTCTTCACTGCCTTCTTTGCAGAATCATTAATATTAACTTCAATTGGCTCTGAACCATCATTTGAAACATCAACATCACTAGCAATAGGTATCAATTCAGGCACCTCGTCTTCTTCTTCACCCTCGGGAATTGAAATATAAATACCCAATGACATCAAATCCTTCTCCAACTTCAAGAATTCCTCATGTAGAGCTAATACAGTCTTCCTATTGCCCTGACCGCAATCTACTGAAGAACCCAATTCATAAAACTTTGTGGAGAACCCCATCAACAAGCTGATTGTCCCCAAAACGACCACATCATCACCATCATCAACCTCGCCCTCAGACCTCTTAAGTTCCAGGAAACTCCTTCCCATTCTAACAAACACATCAAACACGTTACTTCTTATCTTCCCAACCAAAACCTTATCACCCACTTTCCCCAAGATTCCAACAAATGGTTCGAACAGAACCTCAACAATCTCCTTTCTTAATGGAAGAAAGGGCCTAATTTCCTCAAGAAAGACCGAAGCAATGTGATAATTAACGCCATTCCCTTGAAACTTATCGTCAGCTAGAAATGTTCCGTCAACTAAAATCCTAATCGAATTGCGCGTAAATTCCAAATCCCACGACGACTTCTTCAACAGTACAAAAAAGCGATTCAAGAACCTACGAATTAAGAGGTAAAACTTATCTAACCTTAGCTTATCAATCCCGGTCCACTCGCGACGCATTGTAAGAAGGAAAACAGAGAAATATTGGAGAGATAGACCTGATTCGAGCTCCGGAAGAACCGAGGAAAGCTTTTCGATGAGGTCGGACTGAGCCAGCATCTTGTCGGCATGCCAAACGCAATAGAAGAGACCTTTCCAGAGCTTCTTCATCTCCTCGTCAGATACTTCACTCTGTGAAGGAAGCCACGATTTGAGGAGAGACCGTACGGCTCTGTCTCGGCTCGACTTGTCGCAAGCCGCTAATTGCTTTATAAGGGCCGGACCTTCTCCGGCACCGGATCCGGTCATATTGAGGCTGTTCATAAGTTATTCAGAAGAAGTTGTTGGGAGAGGAAGTCGTCGGAAGAAGAGCGAGCTAAAAAAAACCCTAGGAATAATTTTGGAAATAGGAACGAACCGCCAAAAGATGAATTTACTTGACAACTACAATCTATAGTTCCGCTCTTTCTTGTTGCCTTGGGGCACAATTACCGGATCCCGGTTTTTTATGGCCCATTTGGGTTCTAATTTTTGTTTTTTGTGTCATATAAATAATGTATGCAGAGAAATATATATATATATAGAAAATGTAGGTGCGTGGAAACATTTAATAATCTATTATGAGTATCATAGGGGAGGAATAGCTCGTTTCATTTGACAATTTTTTTCCTCCAGTTTTAAGGTTTTATTTTTATAATCTGGATTGATTCGCGTCATACACTTAATTTTAGTTAGTGAGTTTTCAAATGATAATTTTTTGCATACACAATAACTCGAACCAAAAATATTGTTTAAACGATATCAAGTTGCTTATCCTTTTAATCAATCTCGTTGATTCATTTGACGATATTTAAAAGCACTTTTTAATTACAATAAGGGTAAAGTATATAGATGGTCTCCTGATTTTAGGATATTGCTTTGTTGAGTTATTCGACTATTAAAAGTTATAAAATAATCTTTCGATTATAGGATATTACTTAGTGGGTCCATCAACTATTAAAAGTTATAAAATGATCAATTGACTATTCATTATGTTTCATATAAGAATTTATCATATCTCAATCAACAAGTTAATGCCTAGCTTAGACCATCATCAGTTTTTTTAATAAAAAAAGACGAGTGTGGAACATAATAAATAATCAGATGACCATTTTATAACTTTTAATAGTTGAGAGACTCAATAAAGCAACATCCTATAATCAATGAATAATTTTATAACTTTTAATAGTCAGATGACCATTTATGTATTTTTTTCTTATAATAAATACTTATACTCAAGCATATAAAATTCAAACTAACAATTTAAAAACACTTTTTTTAATATTTTCTCATAATGCTTCTTTAAACAAAAATATTAAACTAATACTAAGTTTTCCAACATAGCATGTGTATGACATTCTATACCTCCATTTCTACATTCTTTTCATTTTCGTCTTCTATTCTTCCAAGCTTCACAACTTTTGTATCTAATTAAGAACAAAAAGAGTTTAGAAACAATAAATATTAGGTTAGGGTCTCTTGATAGAAGGAGGGTGAAAAGTGAAACAAAGTTAATTTAGAAAATTAAATGTTTAGGTGTGAATTTTTTTAAAAGGTGATGTAATAGCAAAATTAATGGATGGATGATAAAAATCTAGTATCATAACATTAGTGATTAAAACATAATGATTCATAATTGAGTGACATAATGAAAATGGGTAAATTACACATTTAGTATTTGAACTATTAGTTTTGACCCGTTTTAGTACATAAACTTTCAAATTTTTTTCAAAATCATACCTAATCTTTAGTTTTTATTTCATTTTAGTACCCCACAATTAAAAACTTAACTCATTTAGTACCTAAACTATCAATTTTGGTTTGTTTTGGTACTTAAACTTTCAATTTTTATTTCAAAACTTAATGTTGAATTTTGAATATGGATACTAAAATGAATAAAACTAAACTTTAAGCATGATTTTGAAAATAAATAAAAAGTTTAAGTACTGTAATATACTAAAACTAATAATTTAAATACTAATCGCGTAATTTACCACATGAAAATTTGTTTAAGATTAGATGATCATTTGTGTAGTCTTAGAAATGAAATTGAGTTGACCCGAAAGAAATAGTGAGCGGGTTTGTTTCGGAACCGACCCGGAGAACCTTGTCGAAGTAAGCTGTACCCGTCAAAGGGTATAAGTGGCAGAACCGGAACTTAAAAACAAAATAACTTTTTAGTATATTTTCCTGAAATAGATTTTTTCCCCTCTCAATTCAATTCAATTCAACCTATTCCTCTCTTAAACCCTAGCACCTGAAATTTCGTTACTGAGATCTAAGCAATCCCGCAGATTGGAACTCTTTCGTCTACACTTGATATCCGTAAATATTAATAATCCATTTTTTTTTATTTCAGTTACTTTATGCGATTGATTATATCGGGAACCCATGGGACTTGGATGCTTTCTCAACATTTTTTTAAATCTTTTATAATCGTTCTTAGTTGATTCTTTTTGCAGGTATTTGAGGTAAACTTTGCGCATGTTCTGGAATGGCCAACAATTCTCAACCATCTAGTGCCCAGGTAGCCTGCTGAGTAGGTTTAGTTTTTTTTTCTTTATTTCTATAATATGGATTATTGTTTAAGATTATGTTTGTCTTCTGGGGTTAAATCTTGGTTGCTGCTGCCAAGTCTCGTCCAAAGTTATCAAAATTTATGAACATAACCCGAGGGCTGAGGCTTTTTTATCATTCGTTTGTTTTTCTTCTTGGAAATAGTTAGAAATAACTAGAGTGTAGCCATTACTAGCTCTAACTTTTATTAGATTCTCTTGGTGGCACCGGCATTATTGTTTTTAACATTAATGAGAAATGGATGCTTTTGGCTTTTGGCCTAAAGTACATACATAAGTAATCTCCTTTATTCTAGCTTTTCGATGAATGCCTAAGATGTCTAGAACTTTTTTGCTATCCTTTTTCTTCCCCAGCCACATTGGCCTCCTTCAGTTGGATCCATGGGTCCTCAAAGTTATGGCTCTCCCTTATCTTCACAGGTAATTCCTCCACTTTTTAGTGGCTGCTTTTTCATCTTGTGATAGCAACTTATTAAACGCATTGTGCGTGAAATTTCTATCACAGTTTCGACCAGTGGCCCCAGCGCAGCAAGGACTACACTTTATTCCAGGTGCTTCCCAGCAGTTCCGACCTGTTGGGCAGGTTCCCTCTCCAAATGCTGGGATGCCAGCTGTTCAAAATTCGCAGATGCAGTTTTCTCAGCCAATGCAGCAGTATCCACCCCGGCCAAATCAACCTGGTCTTTCTACGCCTTCACAACAGCCTGTACAAGTACCATATGGTCAAACAAACAGGCCTCTTACATCTGAACCGCCACAGGCACATCAATCTGCTCCCCCTTTGAATAGTCATATGCCTGGTGTAGGAGCCCCTGGAATGCCCCCATCTTCATCATATGGTGTACGTCCTTATTCCTATGTTTTTATTTTTCCCTTTGTTGTCTTTACATCAGGGATATTTTGCACCTTCTCTGATATTTTATGGTTTCCCAGTTTGCGCCATCTTCTTTTGGCCTTCCTCAGAACGTTAGCACACCTTCCCAGTTTCAGCCTATATCTCAGGTGCATGCATCTGTTGCCCCAGTTGCCATGCAACCTTGGTTGTCAACCGGAAATCAGAGTGTTTCACTTGCTACACCTATACAGCAGACTAGCCAACAGCCTCCCCTTTCTTCTGCTGATGCGGTAAGTGCTTCTTCTTAGAGACATAAATATAGTATACTAAGTAGAATTTAACGAGGTTATGCCATGTGTAATTTTTGGTGTTCAGTTCAAATGCTTTATGCTCTCCTTAATGTTGACTTCCTGTGTCCGTCAGAAACTTATTTAATTAAGAAATTGAATTTTGGGCGAGAACTTTCCTAATAAGTTCAAGTTGCGTACAAAGTTGATATATCTTGAGAAAAGACCGAACAAGGAGAATCAAAAGAAAGAAAAAGGACATAAATAACCAAAAGACAACTTTAAAAAGGAAAGACAACATACTTAAACCCTAATGAACCTGCCATACCTTCATCTTTTCCTTGAGATTTGATCAATTGGATAATAAATACATATATCTGTTCTTTTTGTTGTCGTATAGAAATTGCTTATGTCACGGTAGGTTGGAATGACTTTATCTTCAATGAGTACATAAATAGACATTGTATATACATTGCACAATCTTGAACTGTTTTTGATCCAAATTTAACAATATAACACCTTCAATCAGTTAGCATCATGGAACTTAATTTCCATTATATTTTGTATATTCTTTACTAATCTTTCCATTCTTTTAAATCTTATTGTTTTTGTTTTTTCACTTTTGGCATGCCAGGTTGCAAATGTTGCTAGCCTTACTCTGCAATCTTCTGATTGGCAAGAGCATACATCCGCTGATGGAAGAAGGTAACTTTACATAGTACCTCATCATTGTGATTTTTGCTCAAATTGTTCTATGTATTTAGATTTAAAGTTATTAGGACAATTATATTTGATGAGGTAGACTTGGTTTTTGTTTGTTGTGTCTTAACTGTTGTGACATGTCTGCAGATACTATTACAACAAAAAGACAAGGCAATCTAGTTGGGAAAAGCCTCTGGAACTGATGACACCAATAGAGGTGAGGCATATTAGCATCTAGTTGTTGTTTCCTCTGTTAAAGTTTTATGCTCCATGATATGTTAACCTTGAATTTGTTGCGATATGTAATTTATGTAAATTGCCCGCTTTAATGGATGTTCAGACTGTGGCCATTCTTACCTACAAATTTGTTTTATGTGAATTCTTCTTTCTTTTGCGTGTTTTGGAATTGATTTGTTGATGTCATGGCAAGTTGGAGAAATTTAACGACTGCTCTAAATGGTCACTTTGAGGTTGCCCTTCACTTTTCTCAAGGCATGCAATATTTTGCTATTTACATGTTTATTATACGGGGAAATAATTTTATGAGGAATGATTAGATATATGGACATGCTAGTTAGGTGTCTTGATTAACTGTTCTCATTTTTTTTTCATTTCCTACTCTGTTAGTGAAACTTAGGATGGTAATAATCTCTCCCTCCCCTCTCTTAACAAAGTTATTTAATCTACTTTTACACTTCTGTTGCATCTATATATTTATTTCTTCTCTCGTCTCTTTGTTAGTCCATGTATTTATCTAATCATTTATCTTATTTTGGATAAATGTGGTTTATACTTTGTACTGTAATGAGTTCTCTGAATTAATGTAAAGGAATTTGCTATGCTATTCATTTTGTATTTGTATCCAATCAAAACTTCTTTGTTGTTCACTCCTCTTCTCATTTGATAATGGTGTTACTTGTTCCGTATTTGCTCTGTTATGGTTTCATTGTTGCAAGCATATGTTTGAAAAGGTTTGTAAAGAATTCCACAAGTACATAATGGCTATTGATTTTGGAGGTATGAGATGCTGGGTCAAAGGCTCTTGCTGTAATTTATCAGTTGTATTTATTTTCATACTTGTTGCCATGATTCTGTACAGATTGCTTTGGAATGGAATTTAATGTTCAGTATATGTTTTTTTCTCATATTGGCCCTAGAATTTGTTCTCCTTTAAGAGGCACAAAGGAGGTAGTAATGTGAGTTGCCTAGGATGTTAAAAAATTCCTGGAAAATACATTAAGATTTTTACTTGGCATGGAATCATCTTCCAGTTCCAAGATTTGGCTCAGTGAAAGGTTTTGCTATTTGTATTCAAAAAGTCCAATTTAGACTTGGTTCACAGTTGCACCTTAAGGAAAAGAGATTTTGTTACTTGCTTATCTAAATGAGATATGTTACCTTCTAATTTTGGATGATGTTATTTGTATGCAAGTTAAGACTTCAAGATGAAATCTAGCATTCGTCAAGTAAAGAATAATTTGGAGGTTACTTGTCCAAATTCTCACCTAGAGATAACCGTTCCTCCAGTTAGTTTCGAATAAAGTTAGATAATTTTGATATTAGGATCATGGTGCAGAATTTAGGAACAAGTTATTTTACCACCATTCATCCTTGGCCTGGTGAAGTTGTCTAGGGGTGGTTATAACATAGTAGTTAGTGAACAAAAGCCTACTCCTAGCCACCACTGAGTTGTTTAGTTGACCTTTTCAGGTTTGGACTTTTACAAGCAAAACCATTTTGTATGTACTACTGTCGTTATCTCTGACCACAGTAGAATAGCGTATTTCACTGTTTTCACTTGCTTATACTCCCATCCTCTCCCTTTTTGGGGGATCGAATGGATGAAACTGACAGTCTTTCTTAACAAGGTCATGATATAATTTGTTCCATTTCTAACTATTTTTTCCAACTTCATATGTATGGATTCATTGTTGGCAACTTCCTTGGGGAAGTTTTTTTTTATAGGAAATTAGGCCTCATTAAAACCCCCATTCATACCCTCCATGTTGCAACAGTAACATGAAGGACATAAGAAAGAGGAAAAGAGTGCCTATGAACTTTATTAATCAGAACAATAATACACAACCAAAACCATAACGTATTGTTACAACATAACACTGATACATAAGATTGAAAGCAAACCCCTTACGGAAAACAAACATTTCCGTACACGATAACATACCAAAAACATAACCTACTAATCAACCTATACCATGTTTAGCTAACTTATCCGCTTCCCAATTAGCAGCTCTCAGGACATGCCTTGAAATGATATCTTATCCTTCCATACGAGTAGCTATATCCTTCACCAAGGACTGAAACATAAGGATGCATAAGTTCGGAATTTTAATCCACTTCAATGCTGTACTCGAATTCGATCTCTAAAATAACCCTCTGACTTAGGGCAGATCCTAATTCTTCAATAAGAATCAATCCTCTCTATTTGCAAAATTCCACTAAAGATAAATCACAAGTTGAATTCTTTGATGGCTAAATTCCTTTGGGGGATAGTCTCACGGAGAAACGGATTCATTGGGTTAATTGGAAAACGGTGTGTCAACCTTACGAGGAGGTGGATTGGGAGTCTTGGATTTGACTACGGTTAACAGTGTTACTAGGGAAATGGGTTTGGAAGTTTGCAAACGAAAAAGACCCCCAGTGGAAGAAGATGATTTGCTGCAAACACAATATCAATAACTTATCTTTATCAATTAATAAGGCTGTTAATCCACAAGATTCATGGATTTGGAGAGGAATTTTGAACAATTTCGTGAAAAAGGATGATATAGGGGATTGTTTGAGGTCTAATTCGAAGATCCAAGTGGGGAATGGTAGATCAATTGCATTTTGGATTGATGTGTGGGTTAATAATTCTACTTTAAAAGAACAATTCCCCAGGATTTTTGCCTTATCGACCAATAAATGGGGAAGAGTTGCGGATTTTGGTTGTTATGAAAACAGTTGTTGGGTTTGGAATATCCAACTAAGGAGGAGTTTATGCGACTGGGAATTGGATCAATGGATTTATCTAATGACATTGATTGATAATATTGTTTTGAATGATGCAATTGATGATTTTCTGACATGGTCAAGGAAAGGTGATGGTTTGTTCTCGGTTAAGTCCTGTAGATTTACTCTTTCTCGTAGTTCAGTAGTGAGTTTTCAGTGGAACAAGTGGGTATGGTCTGGATTGGCACCTCCAAAAGTTGAAACTTTTCTTTGGCAGTTATCTCATATGATATTAGTTGTTAGAGTGGATTTGAAGAAAAGAGGTGTTCCCTTGGATGATTTAATATGTCCTATATGTCTTAAGGATGATGAAACAATTCAACATCTCTTTTTATTATGTCCTGTTGCTTGGGAGCTGTGGAATAGGTTCATTAGGTTATGGGATCTATCTATAGTTTTGCCCAAAGATCCACTGTCATTACTAGCCTCTTGGTCTTTTTTAAGGGCTTCTTCTTCTATATGGAATTTTATCCCGGGAGTGGTTCTATGGTCGTTATGGAAGGCTAGGAACTTAGTGGTGTTTGAAAACTGGATTTTTGACAGTTCTACACTGTTCTTCATTTGCAGGTTTGGTTTTAGCTAAATTTCCTAAGGCTAATATTTAGTTTGATCTTTTTATAGGGGATTCGAGGCTTGCATGCATGATTTCAGTTATGTCTTCAAATAAGAAGGATCAGTGTTGGGTTCCACCACCTGAATTTTATAAATTCAATGTGGATGGGGTGGTTCGAGGTGATGGTTTGCAGGGTGAAATTGGTGGATTGTTGAAAGATTCGAATGGCTCTACTTTAATCACTTTTTCTAATGTTATGGGACCAGGCCCTCCTTTGTTTGCTGAGTTGAAAGCTATTAAACAAGACATTGATTTCTTTCTTCTGAATGAGTGATGAAGGGAAGACTTATTTTAGAGAGTGATTGTAAAACAGCACTGGATTGGATTTTGAGGCTTGTTGCTGCCCCTTCGTTTTTCAGTTCTTTGGTTGGGGAAATTAGGGCTTTAGTTTCGGCTAGAGACATTTTGGTTAGGCAGATTCTTAGGGCATGTAATTGGGAGGCTGACAAGTTAGCCAAGGAGGGGATAGGCTGATTGTTTTTAGTGTTATAGTGGTGATGTTATGTTTATTTCGGGTGGTTTTATGTAAACTGTAATCTTATGTAACTTTGGTTTATTAATATATCGGGGTACTCTTTTCCTCCTTTGCTAGTTGCCTCTTCACAAGAGCCAACTATGAGAGAGGTTTTTAATGAGGCTCCCTTTTCTTATAAAAAAAAAAATCAGTCCTCTCTTAGTCACCAATAGTTTTGCCATTATAGGAGGACCTCCCCCAACCCTTTCTGAAAACGATTTTATCAACATACCTCTGCTGTCCCTAATCAGCCCACCTATACCTCCTTTATCCCAACCCCTCACCATCGCACCATCAACATTAAGTTTAACGAAACTATCAGGAGGATGAACCCACCACGAAGAAGTAGAACAACCCTTGTTCTGTCTTCCCACTGAATCAACTAGTTTTAAATCTCCCACTAAGGAATCAAACGAGATATGCACATCCTTGAATCTAGCACCAAACCAAGTAGCAGTTCTAAATAGAACAAGAAAGAAGAGCAATACTGCATCCATCTTCCCTTTATGAAAAATTACCTCATTCCTACATTTCCAAACAGGTAACATCACCGCCCTTGGGATGAATTTCCAAATACTTGATTTCGATAGTAAATCATCCCATAAAATAATGAAATCAATCATATTCTTTGGAACCAAAAAGAAACATTCCATAAATTCAAAAATCTTGACCACAGACCCCATACTACCTCACAATGCAAAAAAAGATGTGAAACTGTTTCTCCATATCTACGACACATCAGACATAGGGGGTCTTCGATCCCAGCCACTCCTCTCTTCAACAATTCCTCCTTAACCGCCACTCTCTGGTGAGCAAGCTGCCATACAAAAGTTTCCACACGGGGGGGGGGGGGGCGTGTAACTCCTGTCCAAAAATGTCTTTCCCAAGTCAATCCCCTTATTACCAGCCTGGTAAAAGAAAATCTTGAATGAAGATTTAGCTAAAAAACAACCCTCTCCGTTCCCTAACCATGTCCAACAATCTTCTTCAGAAGGAGACAAATTGATATTATTCAACGAGACAAGATGCAACCATTGTTCAACCTCCCAGTCCACCAAGTTCCTTCTCATTTGAACATCCCAAACTTCCTTGGGGAAGTTACATCGACTTATATAATGCCACTCCTTTGTATGATCATGATATTTTCTGAACTTTTTTTTTAATTACCACTTTCATTACATTGCTTAATTGTTGCTTTTTTCTGAAACAGAGAGCTGATGCATCCACGGTTTGGAAGGAATTCACTACTTCGGAGGGAAGAAAGTATGTTTGAACTCTGTTTTAAATTATTGTAAAATGTCTTATTATGATTAGACATGCACAAAGTCTAATAAAAAACCGATCCGGTTTTTTCACCTAGCCAAAAAATCGGATTTTAAAAAAACCAGTTCGGATCCTAACCGGTTTGGAGGGCCGGATGGTGTAACCGGTTTCGATTTGAAAAAAACCGGATATAAAAAAACCGGTGGTGGTGAGCAGCACTAGAGGTACACAAAAAATCCGAATATCCGATTTTGAGCAAAAAATATCCGAAACTGGATTTGGGAAAAATCGGTTTTTTTTTTAAACTGGATCAGATATTTAAAAACCGAATAGTATAACCGGTTTGAGAAAAAAGTAGACGATCGATTTTTTACCGGATAAAAAACCAATTTTTATCCGAAAAAAATTCGTTCTGGGGTTTTAAAAACTAGCCGTTAATATAGCCGTTGGGGGGTTTTTGTGCTGTTTTTTGACTTTTTTTTCTAAAAAAATCACCATTTTACCACCCTAAACATGTATAAATAGGTTGGGGATGTATTTGGTTGATTACAACTTTCTCAAATCTTATTACACCACCTAAACATCTCTCAAATCTTATTTTTGTAATTTTTTGTTCATCATGGCTACAAATACCGACCCTAACACGGTTGAATCTTCTGTCGGGGGAAACCTTAAAGTCGTGAGAGTGATCGAACACACTCGAAACAAAGATATTTGGGATCACTACGATTTATGTTAGATGTCAAATGGCTCGAGGAGGGCGTGTTGTAAACTGTCTAAAGTTTTTTGCACCAGAAAGAAACACAACGTTGAAGAACCATTTTACAAAATTATGCAAGACACTTCGCTCAAGATCAGATCCTAGTCAATCGAATCTTACACCGCAAGGTGGTGTTTTTGTTTACGACAACTAAAAATTACGAGAAGCGTTTACAAAGTTCGTGATAACAGAAGTATTGCCGTTCGACCACTTTGATGATGAAAATTTCACGGCAACAATTCAACAACTAATGCAACCACATTATACTCAAGTAAGTCGTACTACCCTTAGAAGAGATGCTATAAAAATATGGCTTACGACAAGGGAAAAAATGATTTAAGGATTCCAAGAACACCGTTATGGTGTGTCACTTACATGTGACGTTTGGAGTTTCCCTCATAATACCGGAAATTCTTTTTTAGCCGTTACGACATATTTGTTAGATCAAGATAATTGACAAATGATGAAAAGAACAATCGCGTTTGAATTATTCAGTGAGCCGCATACTGGTGCTAATTTATTTACACTTTTAAAAAGGGTAATTTGTCTTTATAAATTAAAAAATAAAGTTTTTTCTATATCCTTTGATAATGTATGGAATAATACAAACGCGGTTCCAAGATTGAAAATATTACTTTCACCTATTTTAGACGGTGCGTTTTTTCATACCCGTTGCGTTGCACACATAATTAATTTATTCGTGCAAGCCGGTTTGGAGGTTATTGAGCCGATTAGATTAGAATTTAAAGCAATGATAAAATCGGTTCTTTGTAACAACAACAAAATATTAAATGATTATAAATGATTTTTTAAGTCGGTTAATAAAAAAGCTTTGGGTCCTAATTTGAATTGTCCAACTCGTTGGAACTCAACTTGGATGATGATGCATACCGCCTTATGGCAAAGGGAAACATTGCAAATATTTCACGATCGACTTTTCGAGAGGGGCTATGTCCCAAACATTTATCCGGATTTGAGTTGGAAAACTATAGCCAAAATAACTGATTTGCTTGGGGTTTTTAAAAATTCAACAACTTTTTTATCCGGTGTTTATTATCCTACTAGCCCGTTGGTTCTTAATCAAATATTTTTGTTGGCTAATCGACTAAATGACTTTGAAACCGAAGTTTTTCAAGAAATTGGTTTTGCACTAAAGGAAAAACTTTTAAAATATTTTAAGAAGATTCCCCCCATTTTTACTTGTCGCCGCTTTAAACCCAACGTTAAATGTTGGCGTGGTTGAAACACTAATCGAACAAATTGCGTTTGTTTTTAATCTAACCGATGATGAACTCAACTTTGTCCAAAACCAAATAAATTATTTTAACAAATGTTTTCGAGACATGTTTGCAATTTATTTAACTAAATACAGATCAAGTAGTGTAATAAATGATCAAATGAGAACGAATGCGGAATCATCGAGTAGACGTCCAAGTAACATAAATTTGTCACTTTTTAACACTAGTAAATTCTCAATCCAAACGATCAGGTACTACCACCCCAAGTAGCGAGTTGGGAAATTACATGTCATGCGATTTTCTATCAAAAATGACATTTAAAGAGTTTGAAAGTTTGGATATTTTGACTTGGTGGAAAGAAAATGAAGCACAATTTTCGATTCTAGCCGCCATGGCCTGTGATTTACTAAGTATGCATTTGTTTGAAGGATTATTTGGATGGAGCGGCTCGGAAGCAACATATCACCACCCTAGAAGATGCAATTGATGTCGATTTGGAAGCAAACTTACGCATTGAAGAAGTCGAACTTGGAATATCCCCTCCAAACGAAGAAGGCGAAGATGATGAAGAAGAGATGGCAATGTAGTTTATTTTTAAACTTTGTTTCAATTATCGTAAACTTTGTTTCAATTATCGAACTTGGAAGTTTTTAAGTATTTGAATTTATCGAACTTGGAAGTATTTAAGTATTTCAATTATCGTAAACTTTGTTGCAATTGATGACGATGTAATTTTAACATTGTAATATTTAAGAATTTTAATTTATCGTTGATGAGTGTCTTGTGTATATGCTCTTCACATGCATAAATTGTTTATAGATACACGTAATTTATCTAGAATAGTTGTGCTTTGATTAGCTTTTGGTTTGTGATAGGTGTGCGTGAAATGGAACTTAAATGAGGATCTAATGCGATTAAGTGGAAGATAATGAAAGCTTGCAAGAAATGGTGATGAATGTGCTTTGATGAGAGTGTTTAAGAAGGAAGAACAAATAAAACATGACAAAAGTAGTGCTGTTCAGCATTACTCTCAAAGCCTTCAGGAGGAGTAGAGACAGATTGCACAAGAGTAGTGCTGCTCACCACCACCGGTTTTTTTATATCCGATTTTTTTCAAATCGAAACCGGTTACACCATCCGGCCCTCCAAACCGGTTAGGATCCAAATCGGTTTTTTTAAAATTCGATTTTTTGGCTAGGTGAAAAAACCGGATCGGTTTTTTATCCGACTTTGTGTATGTCTAAGCAGCATTACTCTTGTGCAATCTATCTCTACTCCTCCTCCTGAAGGTTTTGAGAGTAATGCTGAGCAGCACTACTATTGTCCTGTTTTATTTGTTCTTCCTTCTTAAACACTCTCATCAAAGAACATTGATCACAATTTCTTGTAAGCTTTCATTATCTTCCACTTAATCACATTAGATTCTCATTTAAGCTCCATTTCATGCACACCTATCACAAATCAAAAGCTAATCAAAGCACAACTATTCTAGATAAATTAGGTGTGTTTATAAACATTTTAAGCATGTGAAGAGCATATCCACAAGACACTCATCAACGATAAATTAAAATACTTAAATATTTCAATGTTAAAATTACATCGTAATCAATTGCAGTAAAGTTTACGATAATTGAAATACTTCCAAGTTCGATAAATTCAAATACTTAAAAACTTCCAAGTTCGATAATTGAAACAAAGTTTACGATAATTGAAACAAAGTTTAAAAATAAACTACATTGCCATCTCTTCTTCATCATCTTCGCCTTCTTCGTTTGGAGGGGATATTCCAAGTTCGACTTCTTCAATGCGTAAGTTTGCTTCCAAATCGACATCAATTGCATCTTCTAGGGTGGTGATATGTTGCTTCCGAGCCGCTCCATCCAAATAATCCTTCAAACAAATGCATACTTCCACCGACTCGGGATTTAGTCTTGATATCCGTTGCGATATAACCCTGCCACTAACAGAAAAAACAGATTCCGAAGCTACCGTAGAAGCTTGGACGGTTAGTAAATCACGGGCCATGGTGGCTATAATCGAAAATTGTGTTTCCTTTTCTTTCCACCAAGCCAAACTCTTCAAATGTCATTTTTGATAGATTTCCCAACTCGTTACTTGAGGTGGTTGTACGTGATCGTTTGGATTGAAAATTTACTAGTGTTAAAAAGTGAAAAATTTATATTACTTGGATGTCTACTAGATGATTCCGCATTCGTTCTCATTTGATCGTGTATTACACTACTTGATCTGTATTTAGTTAAATAAATTGCAAACATGTCTCGAAAACATTTGTTAAAATAATTTATTTGGTTTTGGACAAAGTTGGGTTCATCATCGGTTAGATTAAAAGCAAACGCAATTTGTTCGATTAGTGTTTCAACCCTGCCAACATTTAACGTTGGGTTTAAAGCGGCGACACAATTAAAAATGGGAGGAATCTCCTTAAAATATTTTAAAAGTTTTTCTTTAATTGCAAAGCCAATTTCTTGAAAAACTTCGGTTTCAAAGTCATTTAGTTGGTTAGCCAACAAAAATATTTGATTAAGAACCAACGGGCTAGTAGGGTAATAAACACCGGATAAAAAAGTTGTTACATTTTTTAAAACTCCAAGCAAATCAGTTATTTTGGCTATAGTTTCCAACTCAAATCCGGATAAATGTTTGGGACATGACCCCTCTCGAAAAGTCGATCGTGAAATATTTGCAATGTTTCCCTTTGTCATAAGGCGGTATGCATCATCATCCAAGTTGAGTTCTAACGAGTTAGACAATCCAAATTAGGACCCAAAGCTTTTTTATTAACCGACTTACAAAATCATTTAGTCTTTTGTTGTTGTTACAAAGAACCGATTTATCATTGCTTTAAATTCTAATTGGCTCAATAACCTCAAAACCGGCTTGCACGAATAAATTAATTATGTGTGCAACGCAACGGGTATGAAAAAACGCACTGTCTAAAATTGGTGAAAGTAATATTTTCAATCTTGGAACCGCGTTTGTATTATTCGATGCATTATCAAAGGATATAGAAAAAACTTTATTTTCTAATTTATAAAGACAAATTACCCTTTTTAAAAGTGTAAATAAATTAGCATCGGTATGCGGCTCACCGAATAATTCAAACGCGATTGTTCTTTTATCATTTGCCAATTATCTTGATCTAACCAATGTGCTGTAACTGCTAAAAATAATTTCCGGTATTATGAGGGGAACTCCAAACGTCACATGTAAGCGACACACCATAACGGTGTTCTTGGAATTCTAAAATCATTTTTTCCCTCGCCGTACGCCACATTTTTATAGCATCTCTTCTAAGGTAGTACGACTTACTTGAGTATAACGTGGTTGCATTAATTGTTGCCGTGAAATCTTCATCATCAAAGTGGTCAAAGGACAATGCTTTTGTAATCACGAACTTTGTAAACGCTTCTCGTAATTTTTCGTTGTCGTAAATAAAAACACCACCTTGCGGTGTAAGATTCGATTGACTTGGATCCGATCTTGAGCGAAGTGCCTTGCATGATTTTGTAAAATGGTTCTTCAACGTTGTGTTTCCTTCCGATGCAAAAAACTTTAGACAAAGTTTACAACGCGTCCTCCTCGAGCCATTTGACATCTCACATAAATCGTAGTGATCCCAAATATCTTTGTTTCGAGTGTGTTCGATCACTCTCACGACTTTAAGGTTTCCCCCGACAGAAGATTTAACCGTGTTAGGGTCGGTATTTGTAGCCATGATGAACAAAAAATTACAAAAATAAGATTTGAGAGATGTTTAGGTGTTGTGTAATAAGATTTGAGAAAGTTGTAATTAACCAAATACATCCCAACCTATTTATACATGTTTAGGGTGGTAAAATGGTGATTTTTTTAGAAAAAAAACTGTCACAAAAAACCCCGCAACGGCTAGTTTTTAAAACCTCAGACCGGATTTTTTTTCAGATAAAAACTGATTTTTTTCAAACCGGTAAAAAAACCGATCGTCTAATTTTTCCCAAACCGGTTATACTATCTGGTTTTTAAATATCCGATCCGGTTTAAAAAAACGGTTTTTCCCAAATCCAATTTCGGATATTTTTTGCGCAAAATCGGATTTTTTTGCACCTCTAATTGTGATCCACATTTTATTCTGTTAGATTTTTTTCATGATTGATATGTGATCAAGAGATTGCTTTTGTAGATATTATTACAACAAGGTTACAAAGCAGTCTAAGTGGACAATACCTGAGGAATTGAAGGTACGTCCTTGTGATTTATGATTACTTGGTTTTTTCCCTTTTGACATCATTTTTAATCATTAATTCCAGTTAGCACGTGAGCAAGCTCAGGCGGTAGCTAGCCAAGGAACTCCATCAGGCTCAGGAGTGCCTCAAGCTCCAGTTGCTGCTATTGGTTCTGCAGCTGAGATGCCTTCTACAGCTATTTCTTCGAGCTCCAACACTTTGCAGGATTCAAGCCTGGCTTCAGTTATGCCTGTTGTTAATTCTTCACCCAATTCAGCATCTGGACCAACGGCTATTCCTGTTTCACAATCTGCTACTACAGATGCACCTGGGGCAGTGTCTGTGTCACCTTTACCTGCTGTTCCCTTGGGAGGTTCCACTGTTTCTGTTCCTTCTGTCAATGCTAACACAGCAGTCACGTATGGGCTTCCACTGTTTTTTATTTTATCTTTCCATGATTTCAATAACGTTGTTGAAATTAACCACTTCATTTATCCTCACTTCAGAAGAAGCTTGGAACCTATGGCAACTGAAGACACAGATGGAGCTTCTGCTCAAGACATTGAGGTATACTCTTTGAAACACTTCGATTTCAAAGCTCTCTTCTTTCGATCAACCATTTCTGAGAGACAAAATAATCTTTTTAAAGAGTTCTTTTCTATTTTAGGGAAAAAGTTACTATACTTACCATTGTAAGTGAGATATTTTGGTTTATTTCGTTTTTTGTTTCTGCAGGAAGCGAGAAAGGGGATGGCAACTGGTGGAAAGGTTAATGTGACTCCAGTAGAAGAGAAAATTCTGGATGATGAGCCTTTAGTATATGCAAATAAGCTGGTAACATTCTAGACGCTTCTCTTTCCCCCCTATCACTTGAACTTAAGTTTTGTTCTTTTTTAACCCTAAACTCAGGGAACTGTGATGCAAATTCTGCAATCGACTGGATCAATAGCAATTCTTGCGTTTTTTTTTATATTTTCTCACATTCTTTCAGGAGGCAAAAAATGCTTTCAAATCTCTCCTTGAATCTGCAAATGTGCAATCTGATTGGACGTGGGAGCAGGTATCCTTGATCCTTTGCCTTCCTCCCAGCTTTATCCTCTCAGCATGCTTATTTCTACTGATTAAAAACTTTCTCTAGGCAATGAGAGAAATAATTATTGACAAAAGGTATGATGCTCTGAAGACACTTGGTGAGCGGAAGCAAGCCTTTAATGAGGTAAATCTCACAGTAGCAGCTATGTGGTATAATTTTGTCATGCTTGTCGTAGGATTGCTATAAGTTTGTACTCAACACTCAATTTATATTCTTCTGTAAATAATTGTTTTGGAGTTAAATAAAACATTATCCTATTCTGTTCTGACATGAAATTAATGTTATTAATAGTATTTGGGTCAAAGAAAAAAGTTAGAAGCCGAGGAAAGGCGAATGAGACAGAAGAAGGCTCGGGAGGAGTTTACAAAAATGCTGGAAGTATGTTGCATGAAGCTGATATCATCTTCTTTTCTTGTCCATGTATACATTTTTACTTGACCTAATGCTTTCTTTGTGCTTTGACTTCATCCCAGGAGTCTAAGGAACTAACATCATCCATGAGATGGAGGTTGATATTTTTCTGTATATTATGGGAATAAGAGTTTCCTTGTTATTCTAAATGTGGAAACTGTTAAATATTCTAACTAATCTTTTACCCGTTCAGTAAAGCTCAAAGTTTGTTTGAAAATGATGAGCGGTTTAAGACTGTTGAACGTGCCAGAGATCGGGAAGATCTTTTTGAAAGCTATATAGTGGATCTTGAGAGGAAGGTAATGGTTTTGTACTTTTCGCATATTTCATGTCTTATGCAAAGCATTGTAGTAATTTCACTTTATTCCTTGGCAAATATTCAAGCAAAAAATAATAATAATAAAACATCTTCAATTTCGTAATTTTACTTTTTTATTTAATGCAGGAAAGGGAACATGCTGCAGAGGAAAAAAGGCGTTATATAGCAGAATATAGAAAATTTCTGGAATCCTGTGATTTTATTAAGGTATACAAAGAAGATTTTTAATTGTTTCCTTTGTAAGGATCATTAGCTTGATTTCTATTTTCCTGATTTTTTTCTTTCAATCTGCAGGTAAACAGCCAGTGGAGGAAAGTTCAAGATCGTTTGGAGGATGATGAAAGATGCTCTCGTCTTGAAAAAATTGATCGGCTGCTCATATTCCAGGACTGCATTCTTGACTTAGAGAAGGAAGAAGAGGAAAAAAAGAAGATGCAAAAGGTGGAAATGCTTTCTATAATTATTAATTTGCAACCAGTTTGTGTTCTTACCTTTTTGTCTTCCGGTGAAATTTAGGAACAATTGAGACGTGCCGAGCGCAAAAACCGTGATGCATTTCGTAAGCTAATGGAAGATCATGTTGCTGATGGCACTCTTACAGCTAGAACTTATTGGCGAGATTATTGTTTGAAGGTTTTATCTATTTTAACTTGTTTTTATAGTAAGAGTGGGTTTTCATCAATATGTGTTTTTCTGTTTTCAGCAATAGCTTTTGCTGAGTCTGTTTTATGATTTCTAGGTGAAAGATTTGCCTCAATATCTTGCTGTTGCATCAAACACATCTGGTTCGACACCAAAAGATTTGTTCGAGGATGTTGCTGAAGAATTAGAAAAACAGGTGTGGGCCTCAGATATTTTGTGAGAGTTGTCCATTTTTGTCATGTCCCTGTTATATTTTTGCTCAAGCAGGAGTGTCATGTTTCTGATGGTTTCTTTTGTACATTGATAGTATCATGAAGACAAAACCCGTATAAAAGATGCAATGAAGTCGGGGAAGGTAGGATACTATATTTATCTTGCAAGGTCGCTTGGTGAATTTTCATTATCGACACCTTCTTGGCTTTCCTCCAGATTACCATGGTTTGTTCATGGACATTCGAAGACTTCAAGGCTGCTATTTCAGAAGAAGTTGGTTCCTCGCTGATATCAGATATTAAATTAAAGGTACTTCTGTTGCAAGGCAATACATGCTTCCAACCAAAAAAGGAAAACAAAGAAAGAAACATTGGCTCTGGTAGCATTGTTTAAATGGATGTTAACCCTCCATGAACACTTCCATCTGATTATAGTTCTTATACTTTATCATTTAATCAGAGGTTTGGACCCCTATTTCCTTTTCTTTTAGTCAGAGGTTTAGAGCTTTAGGGTTTTAGAACTGTGTTTGTTAGGATGTTTATAGGCTGGATGGTTTATTTAGTATTTTTCCCCCACTTTATTTGTTTGTTTAAATGAGCACAAATCTTGTGGCTGAATATTGAAAAGTTTATTCTTTACTCTTTTGCAGCCTGTGTATGATGAGTTACTTGAGAGAGCCAAGGAGAAGGAGGAGAAAGAGGCTAAAAAACGACAACGTCTAGCTGATGACTTCACTAAACTATTGCATACCTATAAGGTGTGTTATGCTGTATTTTGAATACAAACAGGCAGTATAGCTTTTGTAAACTTGTTTAACTTCTGGTCCTTCCTTCTGTTGCTTCGCAGGAGATAACGGCATCTTCTAATTGGGAGGATTCCAAGCCACTTTTTGAAGAAAGTCAAGAATACATGTATTTCACCCTTTATCTTTGCCAATAAAGATGAGAAACCGCGTTTATCATTCTTAAGCATCTCACTTTTAAGACCCCCCCCCCTTTTTTTTCCTGCTATGCTTTTTGTTAGATCAATTGCAGAAGAGAGCAGTAGGAGAGAGATTTTTGAGGAATACATTGCACACTTACAGGAGAAAGCTAAAGATAAGGAGCGAAAACGAGAGGAGGAGAAGGTTTGCAAATCTTTAACAATATTTCTATGTAGTTGGTGGTTAAAAATCCCACGTATTCGTAAAACACCTTCAATAGCTATGAAGTAACTTTAGTTGGTTTTAAACCCCAAGTATGAGCACTTAAACAATTGAATTTTCTTTCTGTGCTTTCCATTTAATTTTCCAGAGCTGTGATCTGCATTTCATATTTTGCATAAAGCTGTAGGTTTCTTCTAAATCAGAAGATGTTTATGTTGTTGTTTTCAGGCTAAAAAGGAGAGAGATAGAGAAGATAAAGAGAAAAGGAAGGAGAAGGAAAGAGAACGTGAAAGGGAAAAGGGTAAGGATCGAACTAAAAAGGATGAGACAGACGGTGAGAATTTAGATATATCCGACAGCTATGGCCATAAAGAAGAGAAGAAAAAGGACAGGGAGAAAGACAGGAAACAACACCGTAAACGTCATCAAAGCACCGCTGATGATGAGAGTTCGGACAAGGATGATAGAGAGGAGTCCAAGAAGTCTCGGAGACATGGCAGCGACCGTAAGAAATCAAGAAAGGTACATCTACCTACATATCAAATGATGATAATGTTTGTATTTATCCAACCAAGTCATAATGTTCTTCCTACGTGCCCGTGTCAGCATGCCCATTCACCTGAATCCGAGAGTGAAAGCCGGCATAAAAAGCACAAGAGAGATCGTGATGGGTCGCGTAGAAACAGTGGTTATGAGGAGCTCGAAGATGGTGAACTTGGTGAGGATGGTGTAGTTCCATATTTACCTTTATCATGAAAAAGGCTAAGAAACAAGTTCTTAAAGATTTCATTGCTACATTGTTGTTTTTCTTTTTGACAATCAGAGTAATTTTCGACTTTGGTACTTTTAACCCACACCCACACATCAGAGTAGTTAAAGGTTTAATTTACATTAATTTCTAATAAACCAGAAGTTATAATCTGAAGATGTACTTACTGCAAGGACCAAAACTCATGATACAAGTCCAGTGATAACATATGGGACTTAACGTGATGGTCGTCTTTCTTAAAATTTTAATTTTTCACATAATTTAAATATCTTTTCATCTTTTCTATTAGTAATTTATTTTTATCTTTTAATATAAAATCTTACGTTTATTCCTAATAACTTACAACGGTGTCCCTGATGATGCCATGAATCAGTACAGATCTAGAGAAACACCAAGCGAAGGTCGCCGTGTTGAATTTATACCCCTAAATCATTCGCATGCATATGAACAGAGAAGAATACAAGAAACAAAACACGGTCATTATTTCTTTTTCTATCTATTTTTGGTTGGTAAAAGAAAGGTTGGAAATTTTATCCTGAAAATATATCTATTGTTTCTCTATATGTAATTTATCGTGTGTTCTGAGATGGACTCAAGATTTTAGGTTAGGGGATGAACTTGAACTTACAATATTTCAGGGACGAAAACAGATTTTCAATAGAAAATACATAGAAAAAAAACCTTAAAATATATAGTAATTTTAAAATTTCAGGGGCGTTGGTCCATCCATGCATGTGTTGATCTTGTAATTGGCGTATGAGCTACCTTCTACCGTAAACCAGTCTTCGTATTGGTTTGGGAGTTTGTAAAAGAGTGGAACTGGCATATGCATTATTTTTCTACAGGGAAGTGTCCCCGAAATGGAATTTGTAATAATCTTTTTCCATCTTGTCTTGGATAATTTGTGATTGATACAATGTGAATTATCAATCATCAAAAAATTGCATATTGAATTTAAATTAATATGTATATTATATTGTTAATTTTAAATAAATATTAAATTGAGATCCATATGCTTTTGGCTTTCACACAAACATCAAAAGTGCATAACACTAACGTTTACTCTTTAAACGATAGAATTTCAAGATTCTTAAAATCGATCACATCGATTGACTGAATATCTAAACAATACAAATTGGACCAAGAGATTGTGTCAAAGTTCAATTTTTAGAACGTGTAGCTTGTTGAGGAGGGTTTTAATTCATTTATGTTATGACATTAGTTTGAGTATTACTGACATCGATTCAACTTGAAAAGTTCAAAGTTAAACTCAATTTGTAAACTCGCGAACTTTAAATTGTCAAGAATACTTAGTTCTATTGAAGTTCAACTTAAGCTCAAACATTAAATACATAAATCCTCATATTGTATTTAGAATAAAACAACATATAAACGCTAATGTATTAATAATTTAATTTAAATTTTAAGATATTATTTTTTGAGTTACTCGCAAGCTTTTCAATTCGAATATTAAGTAGATCGCTTGGGCTTATTAATAATTCGAGTCGAGACTATTTAATTCAAGTGTTGACCAAACTTTGACCGAATCAAACCCAATGTCCACGCAATGATCACAACTCATATGCAGCATTCGATAACAATATCACAACAGTTTCGATACATTTGAAGAGAATGGCAAGCAGCCATGCCAGTACCAGACAAACAAAGGAGAAATAGAAATTGAATTGCCTTAGTACTTGGGCAGGGGAACTGGATTTTCAGCTCTCAATTTCTCGATTTTAGATTTGAACTCGCCGTGAATCGACGCAAGCGATCTCTGTCTTGAAGCGAAAGCAACACTGAATTGTTTAATCTCCGCTTCCAGATCTCTCCTTCTTTGTACCTCCGAGTTCAAGTCCTTCAAAATGTTTTCCTTTTGATCAGTTACAACCACGAGCTTCTGAGATGACTCAAAGACCGATTTCCACAACGACTCGTTCTTCTTTCAGCAGCTGAAACTTCCTTTCCAAGCTACCATATCTTTCTTCAGAAGCTTCCAGCATGTTTTTACTGGCATCTAACTCTTGTTTAAGTTCGGATCTTTCTCTCACTAATCTGCCATTTAATTGTACTTCTTCATGCTCTCTCTATGAATGTCACACTTAAAACAGTTACAGCAAAGAAATGCACACCAAAGTATGAATGAAATGGTAATAAACATCGATTCGCTACCGTGTAAAGCTTACATATTCTGGTTAATAGGTTCATCATTTAGAAGTATCCAATAATTCATGTCATTTCGAGTCCGGATCATTTCAAATTTGAGTTGTTGACTCTTTTTTTAATGATTGCATCGAGTTTTCATATTCAGATCAGAATTGACCAGAGACGCCCATTAATGCATTTAAAGATGAGAGTTATCAAAGAAAAAAGTGGTACGTAAGCCACATACTGACCTCGAGTTTATTCTTCTCTTCGATGACAAGTTCTAGCTGTCTCTTGAGGTTTTGGAGTTCTTTGTAGTTATCATTTGAGTAATCCTGAAAATGCAGCCATAGATACAGTTGCTCATATGACCAATACCATCTATCATGTATACAGTTGCTCATATGACCAATACCATTCATGAATGACTTTGAATTATCAACTCACAGGAGCTATCTTGCGGTGGAAAGGATTGGGCTTTCTTGCGGAAGACATCTGAAGGGAATCAAGGTCTGCATGTATTTTTATTCATTTTGAACCATGTGTCCTCATCAGCTACATTGCTAAAAGAGTCTGGAAGAGGACTGAAATCTTGCAACTGTGAATTATTTGATCTCGTGGCGACAAAGCCGTTGCCGGCAGCTTTAAAACAAGGGTTTTAAAATCGTCCCCTCTATCGTTGCGTTCATCTTTTGGACTTTCTTTGCTGTGGAATCCTGCCTCTCCAAAAGAAAATTCATTAACTCACTCTCACAGAGATAAAAGAAAAAAGAATTCGAATAGGGCATGATAAAAGAGTGCATCTCAAATATTTGGCAGAAAAGAATGGACTCGAAAATAATAAATAATTCTTTAACAGTCAACTTCAAATTTGACGCCATACTTCAGTACTAGAGAACAAAGAAGTCCATGAGACTAGCTAAAAGATTATAATAGAAATGAAATTTGCTACCAGAATTCAGTTACTGCCTTTTACCACTTCTGTAAATTTGCCCATTAGTAGTTAAAAGTTAAAACATTTGCACTAGCCGTAGATAAACATATGGAAGAGGAAGGTCATGTGACGCAGGATTATATAGTTCAAAGGCTTAAGATATCCGATCACATGAATTACTGACAAGAAGCAGAAGCCAGAAGGAAAAACTACGATTTAAAGATAAATGAAGTGTTTCAAACGATGGAAAGATGCCTTAATTTCCAAGTAACGTGCTTGGGGTTGCAAAAATAGAGGTGCTGGTCTTGTAGTTTAGGAACCACAATCAGACCGTGGTTATACCTGACTAGAACTTCTATCACCATCTGAAACCAGACTACTTAGGTTTTCGATCTTCAGCTGCTGGTCTCTAATGCGTTGTTCTCGTTCTTTGTGTGATCTTCTTTCCTCTTCCAGTTCCATTTCAAGCGTCTCACGCTCTAGTTCATACTGCAATTGGAACATCAGCAGAAAATATATATATGATATAAATATGTATATGGCTATGCTAAACTGGTGGCACAAGAAGATAATACAAGTTCTATAAAAAATATGAACCTTAAGCATGTCGTTCCTTAGCTTTAATATCTCCTGTTCCGCACTTCAGAACGAGACCCCTGAAACAAAGTTTAACTATGTTAGATAGCTTTTGACTCTATTGTTAGTATGTGACCCGAGCCTCACCTGAAGCCTGCGCAACTCCTCTATCTCTAACTGTTGCTTTTAAGTAAGGCTGCATCAGTCAATCTACAAGCAAGTGGACTATGATTGTTTTATGTCAAATTCATGCCAAACCAATAAAAAAAAAATGATGAGAAGAGAAGTGGATTCTTCTCCTATTTGTCATATGGTAAATAAGAAAATATTTCACAATTTGGATCATAAACTAGTTTGAGGATCCATATATTAGACAATAATGTGGTCCAGAAAAGAAAGACGGACAAACCTCATTCACTTGGGCACAATTAGTGATGCGTTTAGCTCTACTAGCAAACAGAAGAGTTCCTTGGTTTCCTCAACGTGAACCTAAACATGTGATATCATAGTTAAAACCAAATGCTCTGTTGATTACATATTTAATCTCCCCTTCGGAGAAATATAAGGAATAAGAAAAGGCCATAGAACAGCCACAAACACACACTGAAAGGAAGACTACCTTTCTGGTGCTAAAGTGCATATATATAATTGAAGTTTTGGCATTCCCACCTAGAGCAGTCTGGAGTATGCGGGTTAATTTACTCTCACGATAAGGAATATGTGCCCTGTAATTGACAATAAGTCATATGGTTAGAACATAGTTATTCCATCCTACAAAAAGTTACATCTTGGATGATAGCAGTACCTTTGTTTTGCACCATTACTAAGTTATTAATTACATTACCAAGACCATTAAGCTTAATATACTTTCCTTCCTTAAACGTACTCCGCCAGCACCAGTTTTAGCAATCCTCTCAGAACCAGCCAAATCTAAATTCTACCAGGAAAATATGACTGCATAGATTAACAGGATGAAGTAGGCTCCAAAAAAGAAAAAAGGGTTATACAGTGTGATGAGATACAAACCAAAACCGAGACACGTATTGCATCGCTGCTTGAATAATCAGCGGATTGGCGTGAATCAATTCCCTTGCTTTCAATCACCTGGCAATGGAAAAGAAATGTAACAAATATTAAAGTAAAATTCATTCTGCTATAAATATTCATGCTCAGCAATATTAAAAGAGCATACCATTCTGAATATTGTATGAGACCTACTACTTCGTGCATTCATATTCGTTCACCAAAATGCCTATTAACTGTGAGAGAGTACAAAGTATTAGCAAAAATTCTGCCATATAAAACTAAGAGTAAAATAAGCAATTTAAAGGACCTTCTCCTGACTCTAGAAGTTTTATCACTTGTTCAGCATGTTCACAATTTCTTCTCTGGACCCGCGACAAAAATCCCACGCTGAGAAAACAGGAAAACCCAGTTATTTAAT